GGTTGAAATGTGAGTCTACTGTGCCTGTTGAACAGAGTGATTGAACAGTAACATAAAAAATTCTGATTTGCAATTTCTTGCAGGCCAAGCAGCAAGATGCTCAGAATATAAAAAAACTAAGGGAAATATGGAGGTTTGTACAAATCTAACTACAATACAGGGTAAGGCATCATAGTGTACAGGATAGAGAATTATATGTATATAACCTTATAAGGTTTAGGGTAAAACACCACACACTACAGAGTACAGCACCATACAGTACAGGGTACAGCGTCATACAGTACAAGGTACAGCATCATACAGTAGAAGGAACTGTATCATACAGTACAGCATCATACAGTACAGGGTACAGCATCATACAGTACAGGGTACAGCATCATACAGTACAGGGCACAGCATCACACAGTACAGGATACTGCATCATACAGTACAGGGTAGGGTCTTATATAGCCTATACAGTACATGGTAAGACACCATACAGTGCACGGAACAGCATCATACAGAACAGGGTACAGCAACTTAAAGTACAGGGTACAGCATCATACAGCAGCATCATACACTACAGGATACAGTATCATACAGTACAGGGTACAGCATCATACAGTACAGGGTACAGCATCATACAGTACAAGGTACAGCATCATACAGTACAGGGTACAGCATCATACAGTACAGGGTACAGCATCATACAGTACAGGATACCATATTATACAATATTAGGTAAGACATCCTACAACACAGGGTACAGCATCATACAGTACAGGGTACAGCATCATACAGTAAAAGGTACAGCATCATACAGTAGAAGGAACTGTATCACAGAGTACAGGGTACAGCATCATACAGTACAGGGTACAGCATCATACAGTACAAGGTACAGCATCATACAGTACAAGGTACAGCATCATACAGTACAGGGTACAGCATCATACAGTACAGGGTACAGCATCATACAGTGCAGGGTACAGCATTATACAGTACAGGCTACAGCATCATACACTACAGGGTACAGCACCATACACCACAGGGTACAGCGTCACACAGTACAAGGTGCAGCATCATACAGTACAGGATACCATATTATACAATATTAGGTAAGACATACTACAACACAGGCTACAGCATCATACAGTACAAGATACAGTATCATACAGTACAAGATACAGCATCATACAGTACAAGATACAGCATCATACAGTACAGGGCACAGCATCACACAGTACAGGATACTGCATCATACAGTACAGGGTACAGCATCATACAGCACAGGGTACAGCATCATATAGTAAAAGGAACTGTATCATACAGTACAGGGTACAGTATCATAGAGTACAGGGTACAGTATCATAGAGTACAGGATACTGCATCATACAGTACAAGGTACAGCATCATACAGTACAAGGTACAGCATCATACAGTATAGGGTACAGCATCATACAGTAGAAGGAACTGTATCATACAGTACAGGGTACAGCATCATACAGTAAAAGGTACAGCATCATACAGTAGAAGGAACTGTATCATACAGTACAGGGTACAGCATCATACAGTACAGGGTACAGCATCATACAGTACAGGGTACAGCATCATACAGTACAGGGTACAGCATTATACAGTACAGGGTACAGCACTATACAGTACAGGGTACAGCATTATACAGTACAGGGTACAGCACTATACAGTACAGGGTACAACACTATACAGTAGAAGGAACTGTATCATATGGTACTGGGTAAGACCTCGTAAAGGAAAGTTTAGAACCCTATACATTTGAGGATAGGATTTCGTACAATTGAGGATACGACTTCATGCAGCACAAACAGTAAGGTGGTGAGAACAGTTGTCACCAGGTCAAACATACATATCACTGTACCATTTATGCCTATATTTGGGTACTTTATTGAAGAGAAACTTTCACAGCAGATAAAATTTCGCCCATTTAGCCATTTCGCCAACAAATTGGATGAATCAGTGTCCTATACCAGCTACAAAATAACAAATGAAATATGTTATCAGCCTTTCAAAATGATTAAGTTTAATAGTAAACATGAAATGCTATGTCACAGTCAGTGCCAAGCTGTTAGTTTATCTGTAAGTTGAGATACATGGTATCTACAATCAGCTGATAAACAACAAACCTGATATGTACAACATGTTGTAGCATAAAACGATTAAGTATGTTTCTCTTGCTAAAAAAAGGTTGTATTACTGAAGTGAAAAATGACTCCCTGTGCATGAACTTAAATCTTTTAGTTATCACATGAACTGTCTTATGGATGTTACTGGTATGTTTACAAATCTACAAAGTCCAATACATGTTATGTACTAAATACAAAACGTATACCATTCTAACATTACATCTATATAACAGTTTATCTTTCAAGCGACCGTATAGTAAAATAACTTTAGTTTAACTTTGTTATAAAAAAGATCTGACAGTTATATTGACTGGTAAACTCCAAAGTATTCAAGCGTGACAGGAAACATCATCAAAGTCAATAAATATGACAGTAATGTGAATTAGTATCACCAGTTAATTCATCATATCTTTATCATGCCCTGTAACATGTAACACCTGTCATGTTCAGGTCTTTCCGGTGAAACAGCTTGACTCTACAACATGTCTAACAGAAACAAAGAAAATGCAGCAACAAACTGGAACTTGAAACAGCAACATTCACACATCATATGTCACTTATACTTAAACCCTCGATAACCTAGTCACAGTTTTGTTAAGTCATCTCTCCAACAAGTGTTGATACTCACAGACAACAACACTTATAGTCCAGATTTTTATGCTGAATGCAGAGAATCTTTTACAATTATAACTTCAGCCATTTAGCATTAAAACTAGAAGGTGGACTGAAGTTTATTCCAAAACTGAAAGTATTAAAGACAATCATAATATTGAGTAGAAATGAATACATGAGGAAAAAAAACTAAATGAATGTTTGCTCACATATGGTTTCAAAAGTACCTACACAAAGACGTTACAGGAGAGAAGAGCTGAGCACAAGATCCCACTTTGACAGCTGGAAAATACAAGGACTGAACCAATACTCAGTGAATCCAAGGACCAAGAACTCTAATGATAGTAAAGATTCAAGGTTTAGTAAGCAACCATAGCACAGACCCATAGAATGAACTGAACCATGACTGAGTAATCACGATAATTATATGACATGGTTCAAATATGGCACTGCATCCAAACAAACCTAGGTTATGTTTATCAAATATATATTCCTTACATATATACATAAAATCAGAGAAGTAATACCAAAACTGTGAATAAAGAAATATGTCAATTTTTTATCACGCAACTCTGTTTCATAAAGATGCAATAGAGCAGAAAACAATATATCTGCCAAGTGCCCCACAGAAATTGATCCTGGGCCTCCCCTGTGATCATCCATGGCTCTGTCAACTTATCTAAAGAAGCACGCTTTCTCATTTGTGTGATAATGACATATGTTAGATTTGATGTATTTTGCAACAATTGCTGAACAAGTTATCACAACTTGTATGAATCACTCTTGTTGGCTAAATGGAAACACATGAGGGGTCTTACTGTGGCAGAAAACAAAAGGACATGATGAAAACCCATGTGGTGGGGCAAGTCACCCCATACATTTCCATATCCATTCTGGGAATCCAACCCAGGACACCTCGGTGAAAGGCAAGTGTTACTACATTGTCACTCGACCACAGTAACAGTATTAATACTATGCACAAAGTAGTGGCAAGAAGTCGGTTAAAACCTATAATCAAATATCGGTTAAAATCATACCGACTTTCTAATGTAGTTCATAAATTAAATAATTGTCTGTATTGTTAAAACACAAGACAATAATAAGGTTACACTGAATAAGCATTAAAATCGTTCATTGGTTTAAGATAACATTTAACAATTATGTGTTGTATCCGATAATTGTACCATCACTTATACAAGCCACCAAACCCCTTCTTTTATACTTCTCATGTTTTTCATGAAATTTCCTTAACAATGACAAATATACACAATTACATTACAAAGGAACAGAGACTTTTGATATAAAGGAATAAGAAACTACATCCAGCCAGACTTCTTTGATGTTAGCTTTTATGGTGGTTTACTGAGCCATGAAGTCGTCAAAGCTGGTTCTCCATCACAGTTATGTAATCTTATCTACCTGTGCCCATACTATAGTCATGTAGACTGCACTGACTGGCCTGATCAAAAGCCATTTTGCCATCAAGTCAGATGTTAAACTCATTTTTGAAACAAATATAATACTTATAAATAAATAAAAGTATCACAAAACTTAATAGAGCCAATAGGAAATTACTCAGCTTTTTAATGCCATTTATTTAAAGGCGATTTTCTTCACATTTCAGACTGAAAGTGGTATATAATAGTAGGTGGTATTCAGCTGTAAATAGCTTAAACATGTATTTTGTTTTGTATGAAAATTTATCAGAAATTACCAGACACAAAAGTAAGCAAAATTATTTTGAAATCATTAAGCTTTCTACTGCTGATTAGTTTGAAAAGATTGGTCTAGTTACAATAATGTATGTATTTTTAGAGTGAAATAGTTTATAAACACGGCAAGGCTAGTTGACTTTTTTATAACCTTACAAAGAGATATAGGCAGTATCTTATCTCTCTGAATTATAAACGTCCCTGACAGGAAATACAATGATAGTTACAACTCAAAACACTAACCAAGATGGTATATTTAATAAGGTGATTTGACGGTACCCATAACCTCAAATTATATGGTGGTATTTTCAAAATGAATATTTCTTTGTGAAACTCGATGACATTTTCAGAAGCAAGCGTCCTTAGCGATCCGAGTGTAGGTACACCGGTACTGGGAGGCATCCGACCGGGAAATCCCTTACCACGGCGTGTGTCGGTCACTACAGTAGGACAAACGGGGACATAAGAATTTATCTGATGTTTGTTGACAACATAATTCAGCAGACGTGTGACTATCACACTAAAACAAATCACTTACCGAGTCGTTCCCTTGCGTGCTCCAAGCGAGAAACTTCTCCAATGAGATGCAGACATATGAAACACGAAACCAGCACCACGATTCCTGCGATGCCAGCGCAGTGTCTCGCTTGCAATCTCCATGAAATAACCCTCATTTGATCTCAGTTCATTTTGAAGAAATCTGTTTGTGTGATTTCATGGGACCTGTGCATGTATTGCACCTAGTGTACAGACCGACTGTATCACAATCCGAAGGCAGTGTGTTCTGCTTACACTCAGTAAGCATGCTGTCTTGTTTTGTTCCACTCCGTCGATATCTATTTATAAATGACAGGTAAAGCGGACATTTTCAGCGGCAGATGCGTAGTTTCGTACGGAAAATTAACGCAGAGAGGACGTACCGATGTCTCATACCGGCCTCTTTGACTTAGATCAGATAATCGTGATTTCATTGAAAAAAATATCAATATAGTACTGGTATGTTCATCTAGTGTTTTTTATCATTGTGATACGAAAATTTCATGATACGGGACAACAACAGATGCGCGTTGTAAAGCGCCAAAATTTGAGGTGAACCTCGTGACAAATGAACTACAGTCGAAATTCGTTCTCTCGAAATTCAAGGGATCGTGGAAAATATTTCGCCATATCCGAATTTGGACTCAAACAAAGTGTCTAAATAAGGTTGACGATATCAGTTTCCTGACGTTGATTACATTTGAACAAAGTAGGACAACAATAAAAAATGTAGGATAGCACGCAAACAGCGTAAGTAATATGTTATTTGAAATGACAGTAAATATACAGAGGCAAATACATATCTTTTTTCTCCTTTTATTGTTTAACCATCCAAGCAAGAAGACAATAACAACTCCAATCAAATACATTTGTACTAGCGTCGTTCCGTCCAGCACACGAGTACACTACTCTACTGACCAAGTACATATCATGTATTTAAAGGAATGACAATAAAATAAAATTAAAACTTGCTTTCAATACGCTACAAGAAACGATGTATGAAGGTACAGATAATCTTAATATGATTTTATAATGAATAAACAAACATATGAATGCGACATTAAAAAGTTTTTACCTGTTATAGAAAACATACCAGCACCAGTCTTAACAAATTGTCGACATGTATAAAATTCTATCAATGAAAAATGCTTTCAAGTACTTAATTGTCCAAACACTAAACCTAGCGGTGTGCTCGATCACGTTACTTTCATAAACAAGCTCAAAATTAGTTTCTCTCCGAACTAGGATTTCGTCATAAAGTTCGCACTGGTTTTGACGGTTTCGTTTTTTTCGTTCCTGAAGATGCACGCAACACATATAAACTCTATTATACTAAATGTTTTCATGTCTTGTGTAAACGCACTGCTTTTTTGACGTACAGGTAACACAATGCTACAGCATGGCGACACTAGTTAAGAAGCAGACATTTAATTGGATAACCAAACTGGTAATTAATCGTGAGAGACCAAGTGCTGTGTGTACGATGGACCGATACACTGTAATTAGCAATGTGTTACGTACAGATGACTTTCGTTATTACTTCTCGGTTAATTCTCACTTAGCCAGCATTCTGAAATTTACATATACTACCTGGCCAACAAGTCCAGTTTTACACATGAGTGAGTTTAAGCTATAGTCTGTTCTTACTTCCAGTGACGTGAAATATGAAAATGAAAGTTGAATAAGATTTATAATATAAAGATTTAAATTAATTCATGTTGGCAATAAATCTTACATGTTTACGATAAATACTTAAAATATGTCCAGTTTTATTAAATCTACATATATTAAGAAACCTTCACCTGAAGATTGTTAATTGTCTTTTCAACAAGAGTTGTATCAACAAACATTTTAAACACTATTGTTTAAATCTGTTGTTTTTAGTAGGTTTTTATGACGGATTTAGAAAACCAAATAAAATATATTCTGTTAATCATCATATTGCTTACACAGCTTGTTTATAGAATCGTGGAATATAATTAGATATTGATTACATTAATTGCTTTCAATGATATTTTATCATGTGATAGCCTCTTTGTGAAATAATTATAAAAGTGTAACTGATATACAAGTGTTGTTATAATTTCACATCAATTAAAACGTGATGAAAGAAGTCATCAAAGCTTGGATTGGTGTTACCCTTACTTGTTGGCTTGGTTGGGTTGAAATTACAAAAAATATATCTAAGGTCTCGACTTAAATTAGAAATAATATCATTCTCATTCCATGATGGCAAATGCACAGGTTAACGTTAACTTCACAGAAAATGGAAGAGTTGAATACAATCTCCTTCATGCAAGCTTCAAGTTTTCCGTCAGAGCCAGACGTAGTGACAGAGTTTATTGGAGATGTATACAAAGACCATGTCCAGCCACAATTGCAACACTCAACAACATTCCTGTTAACTTTGGACATAATCATAACCGTCCTGGAGATACTATCAAACTAGCAGCAGATGTGTTTCTTAATGAAGTAAAGCAATGTTGCAGTGAAGAAGTTTGTGCTATTTCAACTATTGTTGACAAGACATTAGGCAAACTCTGTGATAGAGACTGATTACAACGTTGGTGAGATAACATCAAAAATTCCTACATTTTAGAACTGTAAAGCATCCCACCACAGAGCCTGTTCCAAGGCCTTACCAAAATGTGCTTCATAACAAAAGCGGACTTCCAGGTTACCTGGTCAGAAATGCTAGCAGGAGAGACATTTACTCTGTGATGATGCCAACAATAATTGACATAGAATCATCACTTTGCTACTGATGACAATTTGAGTAAACTGTGGAGGAAAGCACAAGGATGTGGAGGTGGCTGGATGCTATAGACAAGATGATGAACTAGTTAGACATGCAGCTGTGCTACAATAATTGCCCCTTGATCAAGTGGAGGATGTGTGGTTTTCTGTCCCTGACAACAATGATGATATCTGCCCTGAAACTACATAATTTAAGGACTATGTTACAGAACTGTGGGTCTACCGACAACAAAATCATATTGAAGGATGGCACAGCAAGGTCAACAAACTCTGTCAACATGCACACCAAAACATCCTCTCAGCTTTTCAACATGCTGAAGAAGATTCAGGTTATCGATGCAGCAAAGATGATCCAACTTTCAACTGAAGGTAAACCTAGACCAAAAAAGAGGAAATACCGCCACAAAGACTAGATTTAGTCATCTGAAGGACTGATACAGAAATAAACAAAATGGTGTGCTTACTTATGCTGATGCTGCATCTCATTTACAGTAAAGAACGAGTGAAATCAACTGTGTTGCATTAGAAAACGTGTATTCATGTTATGGTATATGCCTTCTGAAAAATCCTGTTTTGAAAAAAAAAAACATTCTTAGTGCCGAGTTCAATTAATTCAACTCTAATTGTGTGGGACTAAAATTTTTCCTTTGCATGTTTTATAAATATGTATAACGTTCATAATTAGTGCTGCTTGCTGGCACCCTTACGGTAGTGTTGAATTTGACTGAAATAAGTTTGTGCTAATATTTTGACCAAGTATCAATTACTTTTATCTATTATTGTGCTAAGAGTAGAGCCAACACCGTAGTATCATTAATGGAGGCATTGAGGTTATTCACATTTCTCCTGGATACCTGAAGGTATGCAGGGGATTGATGAGAAGGGGTGAGCTTAAATATATCAGAATCAATCCAACAGACTAGAACCCGCCTCTAGTCTGTTGGATTGATTCTGATATATTTATTCATTATTGATACTAATAGGTATTTTTAATATATGCAATGAGGATGCATGGATTTACAAATATCAAATTATGTACCCTTATTCAACAAAGGTGTTGAAAATCTTAGCTGCTTCATGTGTCCTTTCTTATATTTTTTTCTATTATTGAAATAATTGAAAAATAGTGGATATATATATATATATCTGTTCAAAATCCCATGGGCCTTAACGGTCATCTGACTATAAACAATTTCAGCAGGGAGAAGGGTTATTTTTTCTGCTTTAAATGAAATCTTACTAAGAAGCTGTTTTGCATGGTGCAGATGGTAGTTTTGGTGAAGAGTGGGTAACTGTAACAAGTGTTACCTATTTTTTTACCTTAAAGTTGGAGATCAATCCAAACGGTGAAACTTGAGAAGAAGTTTGAAATAGATGTTGCACAGGAAAACCATGATTTCGCAATCATGTTACCAAATTACCTCCCTAGCTGCCCTATCAAAGTTTTGACGAGGTTGAAAAATAACAACACTTTATTGGTTGCCTTTCCTTAACATTCCCACCAATTTTTAGCTCAATAGCACTGGTGGAACTGGAGAAGAAGTTTAAAAACTGTTTTTCAAGATTGTACCCATGGCGTGCTTGTCATTAAGTTTGGCAACATTTTAACTTTTGAAAAGGACAATTTCAAACATAGCAAAGGGTTGTTTTGAAAATGGTACTAACACACCAGTTTTTATTTCATATTAATTGTGCATTAGCACCTAGATCCTTGTGTAACCAACATACCAGACTTCCTGTGACCTTTGTGGTTGTAGCACATGATTATTTTACCAGATTTCATGTGACCTTCATAGTTTTAATATGAGACAATTGTACTAGACTTCCTGTGACCTTTGTGGTTGTTGTATGGGATAATTGTACTGGACTTCCTGTGAACTTTGTGGTTGTTGTAAGGGATAATTGTACTGGACTTCCTGCGACCTTTGTGGTTGTTGTAAGGGATAATTGTACTGGACTTCCTGCGACCTTTGTGGTTGTCGTAAGGGATAATTGTACTGGACTTCCTGTGACCTTTGTGGTTGTTGTAAGGGATAATTGTACTTGACTTCCTGTGACCTTTTGTGGTTGTTGTAAGGGATAATTGTACTGGACTTCCTGTGACCTTTGTGGTTGTTGTTTGGGATAATTGTACCTGACTTCCTGTGACCTTTGTGGTTGATGTATGGGATAATTGTACTGGATGTCCTGTGATGTTTTTGGCTGTTTGGGATAATTGTACTGGACTTCCTGTGGCCTTTGTGGTTGTTGTTTGGGATAATTGTACTGGACTTCCTGCGACCTTTGTGGTTGTCGTAAGGGATAATTGTACTGGACTTCCTGTGACCTTTGTGGTTGTTGTATTACATACATAGGGAATATCATTCCATACTTATTGTAAACTGAGAACTTTGATGAGCAATATATCATTCTAGACTTATTGCGATATATATGAATGTTGCTTGAGGAGAATGATTCTTGACTTATTTTGACCTATAATTTTTGTTTGTGGGAAATATCATTCTAGACTTATTTTGACCTCTACAGTTGTTTGAGAGGAATACCATAAGAGATTTAATAGGACCTGTATGGTTGTTCGAGAAGAATAGCATTCTTGACTTATTGCAACTTATACGGTTGTTGTTTGAGAGAAAAGTTTTCCTATACTTATTGCGAGCTATGTCGTTGCTTTTCGAGGCAAATTTCATTCTAAGGCTTGTGACTAAATGGGTTGTTGTTTGTGTGGAATTTCATTCTGAATATCTTTCGACTTATTTGGTAAATTTGGTAAAGAATATAATGCTAAGACTTTCTTTCTGATGTGGTATATCTGAAACCCAAAAAGAAAACTACCAAAACAGTACCTTAATATATCTTTTATTCTGTGATATAAGTAAATATATCTGTGTTAATGTACACAACAGATTACAGTTAATAGTATTTGGTACAGACACTCATGTATAGACAACCTACATCCTGTACATTGTACAGAAGAGTGCTGAGAAGTACCTAAATGATTCAATAAGCAAAGAGTTGAACCTGATTAATCAAAAGTCTTTCGAAGTATGTAAAACAATATCATTTACACCGGGCAGTCGCAAGTTATCTCATTGTAGGGGAGACAACCCATCCTCACCAGCAGTAAATCCAAGGGAGGCTAAGGAAGCAGCTACCAAATTGCTCTTCATCAGCCCCTACTTAAATGTATTAACAACCCAGTTATGGGAGCAAAACTTCTATAAACCATATATCAAAATCAGTAAAAACACAAATGCATAAAATAAATGCACAGCAAAATTTATGTTCAGAATTTTTTCCGTTTGCAGTAACTTTTGCTAGTTACCATAAAATGTGTAATGTCATATCACCTTTCGTCCTGTCATGTTTATACATTACGATGCAACATATCTATATATTATTAAACACTGTGTACTATGAAGACTTCTGTGAATGTACAAATGTTGCCAACTCTAACTTTACTCAAAATTAGTTGACATTGGAAAATTAATGACTTTCTAGACAAAGAAATAGCATGGCACATCAAGACTGGAGTAAAACAAGCATAATCTCAATTACTTTAAGTTTGATATCATCTGTGATACATTGATACTGGGCCCAGCTCACCTTTGTCAACAAATTTCAACATTAGCCTAAATACACTGTACATGCCAATTCTTGGTAAAACCAAATACATTGTATTGCCATTTTCTACCACATCCTTTTTTAAGGGTTCCTCTGCTACAAGCTAGACTGAGCCAACGATATGTTTTATAAAGTTTCTCTACATCACAGGACCATTCAGATCACATGACTGCTTAGATCTCAGGACTGAACAGGTCACATGACTGCTCAGATCACAGGACTGTTAAAGTTTAACACTATTTAGAGACCAAAAAAAGGTTGAACATTCATGACTTCCAACAGAAAAATAAATTTCATAAAGCCTGCTACATCTGAAATGAACACTGTCTGTCTACATTTTATACCATCCCCTAAAGTTCACTTTATATACCGAATTTTGTACCCATTAAGTATATTCATATAAATGGTGTTGGGTCCCTCCCTCAGGGAGTGATGAGTATACTCCAGTATCATCAGCCTCTTAAAGCGACTCTTTCCATTCCTTAAAGACAATGCTTGCTTTCCTCAGGGTTTCATTGTCCTGAAACATCATACAATAACATACAGTTAGGTCTATTGGTATTAATCATGCTGAAAACAGCCTGGACTTTGTCACCATAACACTTAGGGTAACATAATAGTATTGTCTGTATGAAGCACAAAATTACAAAGCATTCCATTTATTACTGAGGAATCGATCATTGTTTCCACTAGAGATATCTGTCAGTTTGATAGAAATCTCTAATTCAAACGTTTTCCTGATTCCGTATTCGAATATTTGCTTTCATGTCATTTCAATATGGCAGACATGAACTTTTCACCCGGAGTCATAATACACTACTCTATCAGTTACATTTTACCAGTGTGTAATAGATGTTTACTCCAATATGATAAATGTAGCACATAACTAGAATTTAAAAGCAGATGTCTGTTGTAAGAAACAGGATCAATTTCTATGCCTACTTGTCTTCATCATGAACTCAGGTTTAGAAATGCAAAAATTACTTGAAAATATGTCATGGAAAATGTTAAGATGTGAAGACATAAAAAGATCCTCTCACATCCCAAAACTTTTAAAGTAGTATTGTTCTTAAAATGTATATAAATAACTGTTTCAATACAAAATTAGCCGCTGTACTTCATAACATAAATGATCTTACTACTACTACTACTACTGTATTTACGGAAATGGCATAAACATCTAATTCACATGCGGTACGATGGTGAAATGTGATAATTTGGCCCAAAACAAACTCACAGAAAAGGAAAATGTGAATGAAAACTAATATTTAAATGGCTGATCATACAACAGTTTCTTATAAAGAAATTGACAAGAATTTTTCTCATTATTCGTTAGCATTATCATAATTTTTCCCGAAGTACATCATCGTCACCGTAGCTAATACCTGGTAAAATACCTGCTGGAAGATGCCATTGGATAATTCATATTACCCATATCTTATCATTACTGTCTGTAAATGTAGCACAGAAGAACACAACCGAACGAATACTCAGATATTTGTTGACATACAAAATGTTTTAACATTCTATTACAGTGTTAAGCACATCAACTGTAGCGTGCCTACCTTGATGAAGCAAAACCTTAGAAAGTTTTCTCCTAGATTCTTATGGTCCTTGGAGTAGAAGGCAGATGGCGGAATGGCTGCTAATTTCTGAAATGTAATCGAATTAACAAAGTACCGTAAGTGTTATATTCCACAGGTTTATTTACATTCAGTTTAATTTGACATTAGTAAAGACAAAAATTGAGTCAACATTGATACATTAAGAAACACCTAGATTGAGTTGATTTGACATTGATATACATAGACACATCTAGATTGAGTCAAGGTTAATACACAACAAGACATAGATCGAGATGACATTTCTACAAAACAAACCATGACACACTAAGACGGAGCTGATGTTGACACACAAAGACAACAAGCTAGTGTTCACATTGATACACAAAGACACACCTCCCTTAAGCTGACGTTGATACACAAAGACAGTATGCCAGATTAAGTTGACATTGATGCACAAAGACAGTTTAGAATGAAAGAAAGTTCAACTTCTTATAAAAATTGTCACAAACCTTGGTTTCCGTCATCCAACGAACAAACTTATAGTCATAAGGATCGCTACTGCCATCATCGGGTACCTGAAATTCTGCAACCAAATGTTAATGATGTTAAGTTTTATCTAATATGAGACAATTTCAAATGAACATGTAAAGTGTGATCTTACAAAGAGAGAAGCCTGTATAGCTGTTCTACATCTATTGTTAGCTTACCCAACTTAAACATTGATCAGGGTCATAGTCATAGACTAAGCTAACCTAGTATGTCTGTGTTGTTAGCAGTGTGTTGTCAAGTGTACAATCTGTGTGAGTCATGTGAGTGTACTTTGTCAGTGTACTGTCTGTGTGGGTCAGGTGTACTTTGTCAGTGTACTGTCTGTGTGGGTCAGGTGTACTTTGTCAGTGTACTGTCTGTGTGGGTCAGGTGTACTCTGTCAGTGTACAGTCTTTGTGAGTCATGTGATCGTACTTTGTCAGTGTACAGTCTTTTTGAGTCATGTGATCGTACTTTGTCAGTGTACAGTCTTTGTGAGTCATGTGATCGTACTTTGTCAGTGTACAGTCTTTTTGAGTCATGTGATTGTACTTTGTCAGTGTACAGTCTTTTTGAGTCATGTGATCGTACTTTGTCAGTGTACAGTCTTTTTGAGTCATGTGGTCGTACTTTGTCAGTGTACAGTCTTTTTGAGTCATGTGATCGTACTTTGTCAGTGTACAGTCTTTTTGAGTCATGTGATCGTACTTTGTCAGTGTACAGTCTTTGTGAGTCATGTGATCGTACTTTGTCAGTGTACAGTCTTTGCAAATCATGTGAGTGTACTATGTCGGTATACTGTCAGTGAATGTAACATGTCAAAGTCATGTCAGTGTATGTCAGCAATAACTGATTGGCAAGTGTTTAAGTCAATTTTGCAGGTATATTTATATATATATATATTTCACAGTTGTCTGTTTTGGTAATGTTTACAGTGATCTAAAGTTTGCTCAACACCAACATCAGCAGTAAACAGTAATAGGTCAAGGTAGGAAATGACTCATGGTTTAAAAAATTAACAATGTTTTCATAAAGGAATCAAACTGTTTTGCAGTTAATGAATGACACCTCCTTAAATAAATAATTGACGGGAACTGATTACCATCAACATTCATTGAAGAACATCCATTCAAGTACTTACTGTCCAAGATACTTACTGTCTTTAAGTTTGGAGATGTCCGCCATAAGGAAGTAACCACCCTCTGGCATTGTCACCTCCATACCGATGTCCTCTAACATGGCAGCCAATCTGTCACGTTTAGGCTGAGTTTCTTTGGCAAGAGAATAAAGGTAGCAATCATCTAGCTGATTCTTGTCTTTAAGATCTAACTCATACTCCAGACCAGCGGCCACAGCCTCCTGTTAATAATAGAGATGTAGTATACAGATCTAACTCGTACTCCAGACCAGCGGCCACAGCCTCCTGTTAATAATAGAGATGTAGTATACAGATCTAACTCATACTCCAGACCAGCGGCCACAGCCTCCTGTTAATAATAGAGATGTAGTATACAGATCTAACTCGTACTCCAGACCAGCGGCCACAGCCTCCTGTTAATAATAGAGATGTAGTATACAGATCTAACTCGTACTCCAGACCAGCGGCCACAGCCTCCTGTTAATAATAGAGATGTAGTATACAGATCTAACTCGTACTCCAGACCAGCGGCCACAGCCTCCTGTTAATAATAGAGATTTAGTATACAGATCTAACTCGTACTCCAGACCAGCGGCCACAGCCTCCTGTTAATAATAGAGATTTAGTATACAGATCTAACTCATACTCCAGACCAGCGGCCACAGCCTCCTGTTAATAATAGAGATTTAGTATACAGATCTAACTCATACTCCAGACCAGCGGCCACAGCCTCCTGTTAATAATAGAGATTTAGTATACAGATCTAACTCATACTCCAGACCAGCAGCCACAGCCTCCTGTTAATAATAGAGATTTAGTATACAGATCTAACTCATACTCCAGACCAGTGGCCACAGCCTCCTGTTAATAATAGAGATGTAGTATACAGATCTAGCTCATACTCCAGACCAGCGGCCACAGCCTCCTGTTAATAATAGAGATGTAGTATACAGATCTAACTCGTACTCCAGACCAGCGGCCACAGCCTCCTGTTAATAATAGAGATGTAGTATACAGATCTAGCTCATACTCCAGACCAGCGGCCACAGCCTCCTGTTAATAATAGAGATGTAGTATACAGATCTAACTCGTACTCCAGACCAGCGGCCACAGCCTCCTGTTAATAATAGAGATGTAGTATACAGATCTAACTCATACTCCAGACCAGCGGCCACAGCCTCCTGTTAATAATAGAGATGTAGTATACAGATCTAGCTGATACTCCAGACCAGCGGCCACAGCCTCCTGTTAATAATAGAGATTTAGTATACAGATCTAGCTCATACTCCAGACCAGCAGCCACAGCCTCCTGTTAATAATAGAGATGTAGTATACAGATCTAACTCATACCCCTGACCTGCGACCACTGACTTTGTGGTATATTACCTGTATGACATATTACCTTGCCTCAGGGCTATATTACCTGTATGAGTTTACCCTGCCTCAGTGCTATATTACCTGTATGATAGTTTACCTTGCCTCAGTGCTATATTACCTGTATGATAGTTTACCTTGCCTCAGTGCTATATTACCTGTATGATATTTTACCTTGCCTCAGGGCTATATTACCTGTATGATAGTTTACCTTGCCTCAGAGCTATATTACCTGTATGATATTTTACCTTGCCTCAGGGCTATATTACCTGTAAGATAATTTACCTTGACTCGGTACAGTACATTATTGTTTTACCTGTAATGGTGTTGGACTCGTGTAGATACAATTCTGATGTAGGATCTGCATTGGCTGAATGAGTTTCTGAGGTCCTATGGCCCAGCCAAGTTTCCAGCCTGTAGCACTAAAGGTTTTACCTCCACTGCCAATAGTAACAGTTCTGTCCCACATACCAGGTAGTGACGCTGAAATCAACAGACATTACCATAAAACTATAGGATGAAATTAAAGAACTGAAATACTGAAAGGCTTAACATGTTGATAGTATAGATATATATATCTTTACCTGCCAAATCCAAGATGGCCATCTGGAAGCCATTTTGTTGCTTATGATCAATCTTAAAATCAAACAGGCATAAGGAGAGACTAAAGGGAACATATTTATGAAATTTGAGAGATGTCCATTCAGTACTTCATCAGAAATACGGATAACAATCTTTACTAGGTAAAAAATCCAAAATGCTGCCTGTTGGCCATTTTGTTTTTCTGATCAGTCCCAAACTCAAACAGGCACAACTACGGACACACAGGATCCTGTAAATTAAATTTGTGAAAGATCTATAGAGTATTTCTTATGAAATAGTGATAGCAAACTTTCGCAGTCAAAATCAAAGATGGCCACTTGTGAGCCATTTTGTCTTTTCTTATCAGTTCCATAATCAAACAGGCCTAAAATTACATAGTGATAACATATTTCATTGAAAAAATCTGAGATGGCTGTCTGTCCGCCATTTTGTTTTTCTGGTCAGTCCCAAAACCAAATAGGTACAACCTACATATGTAATTTGAGAAAGCTCCATTGAGCACTTCTCAAGAAATAGCGAAAACAAAAATTGTTTACAGACAGACGGACCATGGACGGAGGATCATCAATTGCTAAATTTGAAATTTTGAATATAATTTCCATCATATCAGAGAAACTTGTACAAAATGTACAATTTGCAGAAACAATTTACAGTTCGAAATCAAGAGATTGCCACTGGCATTGGCATTGGATACTGAACCCAAAACAAAACTATACAAAACCAAACTTTCAAATTATTATACTGTACATAATTTAATGGTAACTATCCGAGTCTACATCATCCAAAATCAGGATGCAGAGTTTAAAAACCTGATAGCAACTAGCAAGATGGGAAACAGACAGGGGCCTGTGTGGAATATTGAAAAACATGTTGATTATATATGACTATCTTTTGAAACACTTCCACTTTCAACTGATAAAGGATGACAGGATTCATTTCATTCTCTTTCACATTGGATATCACAACAGAGAAGCCATGTGCACTTGTCTGTATGCTTGTGTATCAGTAGAAGTTAGCATTAACATATTAATATGCTGAGTCTGCATTGGGACTTATGACTACAGATTTGTTATTGATTAAATTCAGCCTCATTGGTGTTTACAAAGCATGTTTGTGAGTTTTACGATTATCAAATTACTTATTCATTATCAGATGTGACAAAGGAACATAAATAGAAGTTCACACACGGGGATCAAAATTACCTGGTTTATTATTGCATGACCAGGAATATTAAACCACAGATGTTTATGCGTTATATTTATATCTGTGATAAAATTTATAAATGATTATGGGATGTATTCTTTCTTGTAATTGATTTTATTTGCTAATAAATCATCTTAGAACAAGACGACACTGCTCTCAAGTGTGATACACATACACATGTGTAACATCGATGATTGAGGAAAAATTATCTCTCTGTAACTCAACCAATTTTAAAAATATCAATATGATACTAGGTATCAGGATGTATCATAACCATATTTACAATAATTGCTTAGAGTATTTTAGGCTATAGTGTCTAAAGACACATCACAATCACTGACAATAAGCTGAAACCTCAACTGCTTTACATTTAACCTAAAAAAGACTATCTTTGGCAATATTGGGTTCTAAAGCAAATTGTCCTCTTCACTGCTTTATAATATTTGAAGAAATTTAGTGTGAATTGAAATTCATATGTAGTTAAACTGTAGACCATATTTAGTGTAAATGGCAATCTATTTGTATCGTGAACGGTAGTACATAATAAGTGTTAACTGAAGACTACATAAATGTTACTCACCAATTTTGACATGTTTACAGTTGTCATAGATGAGCCATTCATACACCTCATCAGCTATACAGATAACATCATGCTTAATACACAGGTCAGCAATCACCTGGAGTTCATCCTTCTGGAAAACCTAGAGAAAAGTAGTGAACATGGTCATCAGAAGGCCAGGGAAACTATTGTACAACACTATTGTGTAAGGTCATCACAAATTGAACATGAAATTGATTTATTCATAATATTTGACAACGATCTGGACAAGATCATCACAAAGTCAAAGAACATGTTGTACAAGGTCATCGAAAGGAAAATTACTGCTGCATTACTGAATAAAAGTACTGGACACGGACATCACTGAGCCCTAATAGAAACTGCCGGCTGAGCACATCACAAGGTCAAAAATCATTCTACAAGGTTAGTGAAAGGTCACAAAAACTATTGAGATCATCAACTGGATTAAGAATCTTATTAATTTACATTAGAGCATAACAAGACTGCTCAGAAGGTCAGAGAAGTTATTGTAAATTAATAACTGCTTAATATCATGTGTCATTTATCAGGAGAAAATGTGATAACAACCAGAATATGACATTAACAGTTGAATTTATTTTTCTGATGTTTAAACCCTGAAGTAAACATTCTGATGCACCAAACTTACTTGTTTCTCACACATCTTAGATGAAGATGAAGTTGCTTCTTTCCACAATTTCAGTTTTCCTTAGCTTTTGTTTGTTTATACTTTGAAATATTATAACTTGCTGTCATAAATTATTGTGAATTATCATGCAATAGTTACATTAAAATTACACAAGATCACTTCTTACAAGATATCAACAATATTAAGTGATAATAAAAATTGTCCACATGAAAATAAATGACATTATCAGATGTTGCCTTACAAAGAATATGTAGAGAAAAAATAATAGCTTCAAGAAACCATCATATCAACTGGAAAGTGGCATTAAGTGGTTTCCACTGTATTATGTTACCTCAAGGCATTGTATATAACACGTTATGTGCATCCAGAATAAAATTTGCCTGTAACACATCAAAATATTTTTTACTTAATATCAAACTTCCCTCAGACTTCAGCACCAGCTTATTCGCATAGAGAATGGCACTACCACCTTGCCTTAGACTCTGGTACCAGCATCTTCCCTTAGACACTGACATCAGCATCTTTCCTGAGAAAATAAGCCAGCACCTTCCCTTAGACTATGGTATCGGTACCTTCCCTTAGACTATGGTACCGGCACCTTCCCTTAGACTATGGTACCGGCACCTTCCCTTAGACTATGGTACCGGCACCTTCCCTTAGACTATGGTACCAGCACCTTCCCTTAGTCTTTGGTACCAGCACCTTCCCTTAGACTATGGTACCAGCACCTTCCCTTAGTCTCTGGTACCAGCACCTTCCCTTAGACTATGGTACCAGCACCTTCCCTTAGACTATGGTACCAGCACCTTCCCTTAGTCTTTGGTACCAGCACCTTCCCTTAGACTATGGTACCAGCACCTTCCCTTAGACTATGGTACCAGCACCTTCCCTTAGATTCTGGTAAAAGCACCTCCTCTTAGTCTCTTAACCACTTACCTTGCCAATGGGGTTGTTAGGGTTGTTGATGACAATAGCTTTTGTTTTGCTGTTAAATTTGCTGGCCAACTCTTCAGGATCAAGCTTCCAGTCTGCACTGGACATACTACCGGTTTTGCTCTGAAACACAAAATTGAATGAAAGACAATATCATCTGGTCTGCAACTGTCATCCTGAGGATAACTTAGACCTCTCATCTGTAGATACAAAGAGTTTGGACATCAATTGTTTTAGTTTCAGCTCCAGGAACCTAAACATTTCATGTATGACCTCAAATTTCCCTTGATATATACCATTCTGTTTTCATGCCCCATCTCCTTACCAATATGTACATATTATAAAAGCTATCTGCTTTTACAAAAATATGACAGAATTTTGACTTGTTTTCAAGGCCTCCAATGCATGCACATCTTCATGTGGGCCATTTTATTTCTGTATAGTTACATTTAATTGGTTTCTAAATTTAGGAGAAGTCTGGACAAAATCTGTCTATCAAAGGATTTATATGGTTACCATGGCAATCAAATAACATTAGATGTTTTGGAAAACAGTACCACTTAAATCACCATTCAGCAAATCCCTTTTTAGGATAATCAGATAATCTCAATATCAACCAATCACAAGCCTCCATCATGTTTCTTTAACTTAAAACAGGACTTAACAGTCTGAATAACATGAAAACTGACATCACAGTTTGAAATATGAAACACAAGACATCACAGACTGAAATACATAAACACAGGACATCAGACTGAAATACATAAACACAAGACATCACAGACTGAAATACATAAACACAGGACATCACAGACTGAAATACATAAACACAGGACATCACAGACTGAAATACACAAACACAGGACATCACAGACTGAAATACACAAACACAGGACATCACAGACTGAAATACACAAACACAGGACATCACAGACTGAAATATACAAACACAGGACATCACAGACTGAAATACACAAACACAGGACATCACAGACTGAAATACACAAACACAGGACATCATTGTTTGAAATATACAGGACATCAGAGCAGACAGAATCACACAACAAGCTACATTGATACTCACTGGTCTGATAGGTACAAACACCGGTGTTGCCCCAGCTACCATGGCCATGGGTTCATAACAGTCAAAGTAGGGCTCAACAATGATCACCTGGAAATGATAGCAATTATGATATCATCTTTAAATCAGGCATAAATTACAAAATAGATAGCATGTTCATCACATTCAGAAGACTTAACAATAGAGAATTTTTATCATATATGTATCAGCAAACTTCATATAGGTCAGATGCCATCGAAAAAATGAATTGATTTATACAAAGCACATTCGTCAACTGTTTGGTGATACAAAATCCTACTAGGTCTACATCAGATGTGATTTTTTTTCTATCTGACAACACCCACTTCTTGTTGATAACACATGCTGGTTTGACCACACCCACCTCTCCATGAAAACATATGCTTGTCAGACCATATCCACCTATTTCTGATAATATATGCTTGTCTGACCACACCCACTTCTCCTGATAACATATGCTTGTCTGACCAGTCTCAACTTTTCATGATAACATATACTTGTTTGACCAAAATCACCACTAATTGATAGCACATACTTGTTTGACAACTATCATCTATCCATGATAACATTTGTTTGTTTGACCACACCCATCTATCCATGATAACATCTGTTTGTTTGACCACACCCACCTCTCCTTGTTAACATATACTAGTTTGACTACACCCACCTCTCCATGATAATATATGCTTTTCTGACCACACCCATCTATCCATGATAATATATGCTTTTCTGACCACAGTCACCTCTCCTTGATAATGTATACTTGTCTGAACACACCTAACTCTTCCTGAAAAAACATGCAGATCTGACTGTACCCACCTCATCACCAGGATTGACCAATCCCTGGACAGCACAGAAGAGGACACCGTAAGCACCGACACACACAGTGATATCTGTCATTGGATTGATAGTGTGGTTCATAATAGGGCCGTACAGCTTGGACAAGACATTGACCAGTCGTGGGTGTCCCTGTAATCACACAATATATAAGTATCCTACTTCTTTCTTGTCAAGTGTAAACATATCTACAGAGAATATGTAAACATTAACACAATGAAAGTTATGTAATTAATCATCAGTGTATATAAAAACCCCTATATAGTATTCTCTGAAGAAAACGATTGTAAGTTCATGAGTCATCATTTTGTTAAACTCTGTAAATTTGAAAACATACATTAATATGTGTGTAGCCAAATTGATATACATATATTTTTATATATAATTTCCAAAATATGCAGACATGTAGCTTGCAATGATCAACACTACCAAACACACACACAAAAGTAGATAATACAGTCTACTTTTGATGTTTGGGTAGACCATACTATGTTAAATACTTCAACTGTAAGCAACATAATTTTATGTATATCAAACATTGGTTTTTTCAGTTCACTTTATCTTTGTCTCAATTAGGAGGTTTAATTTGTCCTACAGGTGTGAAAATTGCCTCAGTATGAGAGAAAAGTACATTTTGTAATAAAGTTGAAGTAAATAGGAACATTGACATGCTATGAATTTCCTGATAAAAAGTTTTGATACTTACATAACTACGTGCGTACTGTGCTAGAAGAGCATTATCAGAGTTCACAGCTTTAACTACCTCATCAATAATGTGCTGAGGTGGTTTGAAATCAGGAAAACCCTGTAAAATATTAATACGAGTAAGACAAGGTTCTTCTACACAACCCTGTCAGATAGCCCTGAATAGCAGAAAATCACTTCATGAATCAACATTACCTGAAAATACCAAAGAACAACAGAAGAAATTTTATGGTATTCCTGTTCAATATCATATATATTTAAGGAGCATAATAAAATATCTATCCAAATCTATGCAAAGTACTTTGCAAAGTACTTCTGAAAAATATAAAATATTCTGCCATAAGACTCGAGCAAAATATATATACTTAATGGCAAAATTTATTTTCTATTTATTGGGTTGAAAAAAAAGAAAAGAGAAAAACGTCTATCTAAATATCAAATTAAATTGATGCTCTAAAACATTTGATAAATATTAGCATATGCTCTGACGTCAAACATTTTGATGTTATGCTTGGCAACTTTACAACACCATTTTGAACTGGACAATTTACATGGTACAGTTTTATGCTTCTGTCTTTTCCAAAATTGTTTGTAAACACGAAATTGTTGAAAACACAAAATGTTTACAGAAAAGATTTGATGGGAACCAAACTTGTTCAACCATCACTTCATTTGCATCTGGAAAATCAGTCAATTTCAACACTGTGACTAGAGAGCACCACTCTGGTCGCTTCATTGGCCAAACTACAAAAGTTATGTCTCGCTAGCAAAAATACGGTACATATATTGGACTACAAGGTAGCCACAAGCTTCTAAAAGAAGACTGCCTAAAAATGTACCTGTCTGTTAACAGGGCCAAAAATCAAACTAAATAGTATGTATAGAACTAAAACAGGTTTCATTTGGTAAATTTCTTGAAAATTGATCCCTGCCATTTGTGAAACAGTTTTACAGCATTTTTTATATCATCTAACTATAAATGTCTTACCTGACCAAGGTTTAGGGCCTGATGTTCTGCGGCTAGTTTGCCAAACTCTACCCTGAAAATATTATGTCTTTTATTTGAATCTTCTTACACTGTCACAATGTTACATAAAATATAATCATTCAAACTGATATTCCTTATCACATATAGCTTTCCACAGCAGGACTACAATCATTGTGAGTAGCCATTGATAACTCTCCAAACAGCCATTATGTGTAGTCATAGAAAACCCTCTACACAAAACAGCCATTGTGAGTATTCACAATAACCCTCTGCACCAAACAGCCATTGTGAGTATTCACAATAACCCTCCACACCAAAAAGTCATTGTGAGTAGTCATAGAAAACCCTCTACACAAAACAGCCATTGTGAGTACTCACAATAACCCTCTGCACCAAAAAGTCATTGAGAGTAGTCATAGATAACCCTTTACACAAAACAGCCATTGTGAGTACTCACAATAATCCTCCACACCAAAATGCCATTGTGAGTAGTCATAGATAACCCTCCACACCAAACAGCCATTGTGAGTACTCACAATAACCCTTCACACAAACTAGCCATTGTGAGTACTCACAATAACCCTTCACACAAAACAGCCATTGTGAGTACTCATAAAAACCCATCACACAAAAGTTATTGTGAGTACTCACAATACAGCTATTGAGTACTCACATTAAACAGTTTTTTGTAAATGCTCACAGATAACTTTTAATGCCAAACAACTGTTGTGAGTACACACCATATTCCTCCACACCATACTGCCATTGAGAGGGAGTACTCACCATAACTATCTACACCAAACAGCCATGGTGAGTACTCACAGATAGCCCTCCATACAAAACAGCTATTGTGAGCACTCATAAGAACTCTCAAAACTAAACAAGCATTGTGAGTAATTACACATAACCCTTACATTGAACAGCCATTAAGAGTACTCAGAATAACCCTCTACATTGAAAGGGCATTCCTCCATTCAACATCAAAAATATGCTATTTATGATTTTCAAATCATATGACTAAATGAGGATCATTCCAATGCATGTGCATCTCAGTAATGAATTAAGCATTGAATTGAACAGAAAATGTATGTTTTATGTCTAAACACTGTCTTTATTCGTCGGTACTTAAATATTCCATCATTTCTTCATCTGCTTCAATTAGATACCACCTGACATCACAGACGTATCGCAACAAGTGTATTTCGCATCTAATAACTATATGTGTCATATATAGAGAAGTTGTAATATGGTAAAAAATTTAGCTTAAATTTTGGTACAGACATATAAGTACATAACACTGTTATGTAATGTAGTTACAAGAGTAAATGAAAGTGTTCAAGGTAGTAAGTGAAACTTGGAGTGTAACATCTTTAAATTGAGCAAATTTATGTCATTCACTTGAAATGAGTTTGCTATGTTTGCAGTCTGTTACCTTTCAACAGTTTTACTACTGTTAAATAGACTTTTCTGTCACTCACTAATTTGTTAATTTTGTTCCTTGTTTCTTAACTCAGATTTTAGCGATGTTACTGACAATCTCTTCCTGTTCTCACCATAACCCACCACACCAAACAGCCGTTGTGAGTTCTCACAATAACCCTCCGCATAACACAGCCATTGTGAGTACTCACAATCAATTGTCATATTAGATATCATAAGCTCACCATATGTTCTTCTCTGTTCCCTTGAGTCTATTAGCCATTCCAATCTTTGCAGACGCCATTTTTCTCTGAAACACAGATAATATACATGTGGATGTAGCACAGTTACCTTCGTCGTTATTTACCTTGATACCAGATACACCTTTAACTATATTGTGCAGCACTGAACCATTAAGCACGTTGAAGACCTCTGCTTAAGTACCGGAGACACCATATAGCTAGGCTCTTATTACATCTACCATAACAATGACAATATCATTACCAGAACAATGATATAGGTGTTACCAATAGCAACAAAATTGGTGATAATGTCTACCAGTGTTCAACAAGAATGTGTGCAGTCCCTGGTAATGATGGAATAGCAGTTTAATTTTAGACCTGACGTAGTTGGTTTAATATATCTTACTTTATCAATATGTCTAACTGATATATCATTCCATGTTTTCTGTGACATCTAAACTGTAGACAGGAAAACCATTATGTTGATTTAGCAGTAGACAAAATTAATTCACTCCGCACCCCTCTAAATGCATATTTATTACGTTTAATGTTATGTACCTATATCATGAGAATCAACTTGCAATAATTTTTTGTGTTTTTTTTTTTTTCCTTCTGTGTGTTTATAATTACATGTAATAGCAAACGAGGAACCTCTGATAATGCTGACAAAGTGACAATGATAATAAGAATGAAAAGTACATTTTATATCTATTAGTTATTAACCGGTCTACACATTACTCATACCTGTTACATGTCTGTATAAAACAATGTACAATAGGCTTAGTGCTGTTTACATGGTAAGTCATCGTGTGGACAGACACAAACACAGCAGTACACCAACATGTATCATGCCCACACACACCAACCACTACTTCATCCAAAATCAAATCAAACAAATATCAATCATGCAACAATAAAATAGTGTAAACTTTGTATGAATCTTATACAAAATAATGGCTGCAGTGTACAGCAAAGTTCAAACAATGATAAATATCATTCAAGAAAGCAGGCTGCAAATGCATTGATCCAATAGTGCCCACTTTGTATGTACCTTGTACGAAATGACTGCTGCAGTGCAAAACAAGTCATATAAAACATGCTACAAGACAATATGATGGGGTACGTGTGAAGTTATACATCTCCTGATCATGGTCAAATAATGAGTGGGAAGCAACATAGGTCACTCTAATCAATCAATAAGTAAAGGGATTAATAATATCAATATAGGACACTGTAGTAAATGTGCTCATACAAGACAACCTACCTAATGAATATGTACTTTGTGACATTCGGGTAAACATGTATCAAATTACAGGAGAATCATGGAACACCACATTCACATCAAATTACAGCAAAACCAAGGATCACCACATGTTAACCAAATTACAAGAGAATCATGGATCACCACATATAAATGAAATTATAGCAGAATTATCGATAACTATACATTCATCAAGTTACAGCAGAATCATGGGTAACCATACATTCATCAAGTTACAGCAGAACCATAGGTAACCACATACAGGTAAGTGGTCTTCAATATGATATACCCATGTAAACACTGACATCCTACTTGATATTGGAGGCGAGTATTTATACATAACTGCCACAAGACATGTAAAAATTAATTTTGGAAAGATGGTTTTAAAGTGTGGTATAAAATACATATCTGTAGAGAAATGACCATTGAAATGGAGAAGTCACTGTTGGAAATACTGATTTGGTTTAATAAAAATATAACCATATCAAAAGAATCTGATTTTTATAAGCAACGGTATAGGAAAGGAATATGAACTATAGTTGACTTGTTAAAGGCTGATAGCAGTGAATCTTATGTCAGTGTTGAAGATTTCCTACATACATAGAATGTGACAATAGTTGATTTGTTAAAGGCTGATAGCAGTGAATCTTTTCTCAGTGTTGAAGATTTCCTACAGACATAGAATGTGACAACCAACTTCCTTACACATCAAGGGATACTATCATCAATTAAAAACATCTTATTAAATGAAATTATCTTAATGAATACTGTGGTGCAGCCACTTATACCAGTTCTCATTCAGATTTTTCTGAGAAATGTCAAAGGGACAAAAGACTTCTATAATATTCTTAAAGTACCAGTCAGACAGAGCCAACTGGTAAAACAAAATAGGGGGAACAGTTTGAACTAACCAACACAGACTGGTAAACTTTCTATAAAAAACCATTTCAGGTAACAAAAATACCAAGCTTCATTGGCTCCAGTTGAAGATTTCTCACCACATTCTAACTACAACTTCCAGGCTTTTTAAGGTAAAACTAGTCATCAGTCCATTACACAAGCTATGCAATTCTGAAAGAGAATCAATCACTCATCTTCTTTGGGAATGTCAGAAAGTCCATTAAGTTCTTAAAGATCTAAAAACTGATGCACTGTTTATACCGTTTTCCATCAACAAACAATCCTTTCTGTTTGGAATTACAAGTTACAATTGCCTTAGTTTCAGAGTCAACAATGAAATAATTCTATTAATTAAACATTATATCTATAAAACAAGGTGTTTATATAGTTCATTAAATATCAATACCTTTGTGAAGATTATACAGTCATTATTCTGTTCCAAAGTATATTTCTAACAGTGAAAATGATATATTCAGATTAAAATTTACAAATGAATGGAGCAAATGGGAAAACTTCGTCAAAATTGAAACTGAAAGTATTTCATCGTGATCTCATGCTGACGTTTTTTCCCATCATCCCATGGATCCTAGGTCTTTGTCTCTGTCTGTCTGTCTGTCTATCTCTTTCTCTAATACATTTACTATCGTCTTTCTTTGTGTAAGCAAATGAAATGCATAAATAGTGGATGTGTGGGTGAGAGGTGAAAGAGGGTATTTGTGTGAGTTGTTAGTGTGAACGATGTACATGTATGCAATGATTGATGATGATGATGATGATGATGATGATGATGATAATGATGATGATGATGATGTAATGATGATGATGATGCTGCTGTTGATGATGATGTAATGATGATGATGATGCTGCTGTTGATGATGATGATGATGATGATGATGATGATGATGATGATGATGATGATGATGATGATGATGATGATAATGATGATGATGATGATGATGATGTAATGATGATGATGATGATGCTGTTGATGATGATGATGATGATGATGATGATGATGATGATGATGATGATGATGATGATGATGTGATGATGATGATGATGATGATGATGTAATGATGATGATGATGCTGCTGTTGATGATGATGTAATGATGATGATGATGCTGCTGCTGCTGTTGATGATGATGATGATGATGATGATGATGATGATGATGATGATGATGATGATGATGATGATGATGATGATGATGATGATGATGATGATGATGATGGTTATGATTCATGGTTATGATTCATGGTTATAATGAAGATGATTAATTATGATAAATGATGATAATGAGGATGATAAATAGTAAAGGTGATAATTATGATTATGATTGAGTGCAGTGAGGATGATGATTGTGTGTATCATGTGTGTGTGTGTGTGTGTGTGGTGGTGGTGGTGTGTGGGTGTGTATATGTGTGTGTGTGTGTGTGTGTGTGTGTAGGGGTGTGTGTGCGTGCCTACGTGTGCATGCATACATGTGTTGATACATATATTTTTGTCACTGTCATGTTTTAAAATGAAGTCAAATATCTGAAAAAAAAATTACAAAATAAAATATTTTTACAGTAGAACCACTGACATTCACTATTTTGTGTTTAAAATTTACAAAATGTGCCCAATAGCAAGAGCACAATGACCCTTTCCATTTTTACAAGAGAACCATGTGCAACTGCATGTATAATAACAGCAGAAATAGAGGTTATATATATATATCATCAAAGTAAAACCATAGGTTTTGTCTGTGAAACATGCCTTATCATTCATATACTAAAACAGGTCATTAAGGTGGCATTCTAAGAGAATACAGACCATAAGACTATTGTGTATCATGATTGTTGGCAAGATCCAGTCATACAGAACAGATTGGCTATAGAACATCACCACTACTAAATTCATAAGTATGGAAGATTAATTACACTGCTGTAGATCGAGGGACAAATTTATTCAAAAGTTTGACTCCTCTTAAAAAGGCGTTCTGAAAAAAAGGAGGCTGTTTAAACTTTCACAAACTCTCAGAACAGACATTTATAATGAAGTTTTATGCCTTATGATATAGTCGAAGAGAGCTAGGTACAAACACTGAAAAAAAGAGCAGGAAAGGACAAAGGTCATTAGTTTTAGGAAAAGGCTGACAGGTCATTTACATTTGATTGTGTAAGAGGAAAGAAGTTACAATCAACAGGAGATCAGAGTTTACACCCTGCAATACTAAAAGATACAAGGGGTGAAACATGCAAATCAAGATTATAAAGGAACCAACTGTACACAGCATTCTACCATCATCCAATTTACACTAGTATGCTATATCTAAACAGCTACAGCTCTAGTAGTAAATGTACTGAAGAGATTTAACTTCAAAACAGTTGCTCTCTCTGAGACAGGTCTACATACAGCATGTCTACAAACTATGCATGAATGTCCAGTAAGAAGCTGACAGACATGGTCTTAGTACCATTCTAAGGACCCACAGCTATAGAACAGTTAGTGTAGTGACAAGCCATACATACCACAGCAAAAAAGTCAATAATAAAACCAAAACAGTGAAGGAGAACCCCACAATGTTGTTAGTAATTACATCAAAAGACACATGCAGAGCAACAATGACAGCTAGGTTTGTCTAACGATTGGTCGATATTAGTTCTTATCAAACTTTACAGATTCAATTACTATCAAATTATTTGAATATCTGGTTAAACATTATATCAAAGTTACCGTCTTTGTCAGTTTAGGAATTCTCTAAGCAAGGAGAGGATTCTTTGCATTTTATGAATATATTATTTTTTTTGGATGTCATAGGAAGAAAATTAAGTAAGTTTAGGCTCACATATATATATACTTTTCTACTCTAAATATTTTTATTTCAAAAGTGGTCAAGTGCAACCTTTGACCCTTTAATGTTGACCAATGGCCACTGAAATCTGTATAAAACTTGATGTCTTAATACTATATGGTGTGAATATGAACAAAATCTGTTCAAGGGTTCATCAGATATCTTGCGAACTTTGACCTTTTTGCAATGACTAGTCACTACCGAACAGGAACCAAACAAACAACTAGCATCAGCCTGATAAACAAACCTAGCTTTTAATGATCAACTAAACAGAGGAAAAAAGAAAATCTCTGCCTCAGTTGCGGGTCAAGCAGTCCACACAGTGACTTACATGTTGTTGTGTTGCTAGGATACAGGCAAACGGTTGTAACCTAGAGAGATTTTTATTCACAGGTGTAAATTGCCTGCAAGCCAAACACAGACTTCTCCCCACTCCGGGCAGGCAACTCTGCATGGTCCTGTCTCATCGAAAAACATAGGTATAAACAGATATCAATCAGGGTCACCAAATTCTTGAACACATGTTAAAACTTTCTCATCATTATATATAACTAGAAATACTTGTACACACACATTCCACTTTTCTACAGCATTGGCAGTACATCATATGTATGTCTCAATGCTTCCACATTCATCAAAGATTACTATAGCATTCATGTTCATGCAGGTCCTAGAATAGTTCAAATTATTCTGACATTCTATTGACAGATATAAAAAAAAGATTGCGAGAATGTCAGGAGGTCAACAAATCACCTCTGACTCCAAGTCAGGGGAGTGGAACTATAACTGGAGGTTAACAAATCACCTCTGACTCAAAGTCAGTGGAGTGGAACTATTACTGGACTCCTGGAGGTCAACAAATCACCTCTGACTCAAAGTCAGTGGAGTGGAACTATTACTGGACTCCTGGAGGTCAACAAATCACCTCTGACTCAAAAGTCAGTGGAGTGGAACTATTACTGGACTCCTGGAGGTCAACAAATCACCTCTGACTCAAAGTCAGTGGAGTGGAACTATTACTGGACTCCTGGAGGTCAACAAATCACCTCTGACTCAAAAGTCAGTGGAGTGGAACTATGACTAGACTCCTGGAGGTCAACAAATCACCTCTGACTCAAAGTCAGGGGAGTGGAACTATTACTGGACTCCTGAAGGTCAACAATTCACTTCTGACTCAAAATCAGGAGAGTGGATCATACTATCACAGGACGCAAGGAGGTCAACAAACCACCTCCGACTCAAAGTCTGCGGTGAAATCACAACAATAGATAACAACTGACTTAACACCAGACCTGGGCTTATTGTTGGAGTAATACAGTCATCAAAATCTATACCTGCTTGAAGTGGAATATCTTAACTTAAAAGGCTCGTCAACAGCAGGTAGTATCCAGAGTCCCTAAGCTCAGGTTTTCAGCATTTTACACACAAGCTGCCATTCAAATCAGTTCCATATCAACTCTACGTCATGTGATCCTCCACAATTTTGCATCATTTGACTTGTGATGGCAATTTAGTAAAGAACCAGTTACATTTATATGCAAGCGCTATCATATACCTGTATTTTTTTCCCTCTTCATATACTTTATCATGCCAGCTTGTAGTGTAATAAAGAAAAGGGCAGTGGATATAACAAAAGATTGTCTATACTATTTAATCATAGAGCATTCCAGGGTGTAATGTGGCCGTCTGAAGATCCTCAGATATACAGATATGAATGCTCTGTCAATATACCAAGTTAAGATCTCCATAAAACAAGTTTTCTTTATGCTGCACATTAAATGTACAGCAACATATCCAGTCTTAAAAAATGTCTTGTTATCGAGATTCATGTTAACCCGATTATCAATAATCAAGCCCAGTGTAATTCAATCAATCAAACTTTGCTTACTTGAAAACTCAGACATCTTGAACAGACTTTAAGACTTGTCAACAACAAGAGGCCCATGGGCCTTAACGGTCATCTGACAAAAAGCAAGCCAAACTCTAACAACAGTGAGTCTGCCGTTAAAAAGTGGGCTTTATTCATTTGAATAAACTTGGTAGCCCTTCCTCCCAGCATCCTACAGGCCCAATATCAGCACTCTGAGCCTTTTGGTTACTGAGAAAAAGTTGTTTACAGATTTTAACATATCGGAACCTTGTGATCTTGAAAGTGGGTCAAGGTCATTCACTTGAACACATTTGGTAACACTTCCTCAAAGCATCCTACAGGCCCAATATCAGCACTCTAATCATTTTGGTTATTGAGAAGTCATTTGCATATTTTAACATATTTAATCATCATTCATTTGAACAAATTAAGTAGCATGTCATCCCAGCATCCTACAGGTCCATTATCAGCACTCTTGGACTTTTGCTCATTGAAGAGAAGTTGTTTGTATATTTTAACATATTTGACCCCTGTGACCTAGAAAGTGGGTCGAGGTCATTCATTTGAACAAACTTGGTAGCCCTTCATCCAAGCATGCTACAGACCCAATATCAGCACTCATGGACTTTTGCTTATTGAGAAGAAGTCATTTGTATACTTTAACCCCTGTGACCTTGAAAGTGGGTCAAGGTCATTAAAATTACAATTATATTTAGCCCCCTACCTTCTAATACAAAAGAAGACGATGGACAAGGCAATGGCTATCATTCATTATATTTCACCACAGCATTTTATAAGCATTTTATAAGTTGTATTAGTAAACTGGTTCTTTATTATTGTCTCTCTCAAGGATCAATTAGGAAATAGTGATGATCAATCCTAAGTTTTGAATATAAATTTTATTCCCTCTAGACTGTTTAATAATTCAAATATAAATTTCATTTCATTTTTTATCTCAGTAAAGCTTTTTCTGTTGGATGTATTTCTGATGTTGTTCTGTAAGTATATTTTATGTAGAAAGCAATACTAACAATATATAGATTCAAAGCCAATATGTTTTTCATTACCATCAAATATTTTGATAATGGACCAATTTCATTATCTATACAGTAACCTACTTTATTCAATCACTATTGCCTACTTTATTCATACACTGTACACTTTATGGTAAATCCTTAGCACTTTTTAGCTGAAGCCAAAACATAACTAAATATTCCAAGTCACATAACATGTATTGATATGGAAAATAACAATGAATTTACCTATTATCAATGACATTTCTTTCAAATTCCTGAAAAAAGAATGAAATTGTCAAAAACATGTTAAGTCAACTGATGATGACTTACGGTAAATCAGCCAGGTTAATAGCGGAAGAGTTGGAATAGGTTGTAACCTGTACCACCTCACTTAACATTCATAGTTACAGTTTAAAATCAAATGGAATGATCTGGTATTTTCGAAAGAAGGTTGACCGTTTTTTTATCTATGTTATGGCCGAAGTCAGTAAGTCAGTCATAGTGTACTAATATAACTCTGAGGTCATGGAGTACTATTTAGTATATGACTGGTCAATTCAGAATGACAGTTATTAGTGTTCATTGGCCAAATATTGACAGCTTCAATATCCATGTTCCTTAAAACCAAAGGCACCAAACATATGCCAATTTTAGTTTCATATCCTGATTTTTGATAATTTTGATTAACTTTTAGCTTTTGTTTATAAAATTTTTAAAAAGTTAGCAAAATGTTTTTGCGAGGCAATTCTGCATGCTAATTTCACACAACCATGCAAGTAGATTGATCAAAATGTGATTCAGATAATTTCAAAGCTCACCAGCCATATTGCAAACTCCATCTGGCGCCATTAAAATATGTATTAACATATTCTGTCAAAGAACAGTTTTAAATCAGAAACACCTTACTGAATGAGTTAAGAAAACAGAAATTCTTTGTTCAGAACTACCATTTATCTGCAAACAAACCCCTGACACATGGCTGGGCCAACAGGTTCAGAGTGTATGGCAATTCTGTGTGAGGTGATTCTGTGTGCATGGTGGTTCTGTATTTGCCCACTGATTCTGTCTGACTGCTGTCGATGAACTTGTGTCAGCAGTGATTCTATACCTGGTGATGCTCTTCGATTAGTGATTCTGTGTATGCAGCAATTCTGAATGCTTAGTGATCATGTGTGTTTGGTTATCCTGTGTGTGTAGTGATCCTTTTATGTATGTTTAATATGTGTGCACAGTGATTCTATGTGCTTGATGGTCCTGTATGTGCAAGAATTTTGTGTGGTCAGTGATTCTGTGTTTGGTGATCATGTGTTTGCAGTGATACGGTGTATGCAGTAAGATTTTTGTGTGCAGTGATCCTGTATGTGTAGTGATTGTGTGTGTGTGGTGATTCTGTGTATGCAGTTATCCTGTGTGTATGATGATTATGTATGTGTAGGATTATTTATGTGCAATGTATGTGCAGTGATTATGTATGTGCAGTGTTTACGTATATGCAGTTATTCTGAGTGTGGTGATTCTGTGTATTCAGTGATTTTCTGTGTAATTACATTCTAGTGATTATACATGAACAAATGATTTTGTCATTCAATTGATTTTACATGTCACTTCTGAAAATAGCACAAGTTTTGATAATTTATGTTGTTCATCTATATGTAAATATGTGGAAAAAAAATTCATCTGAGTTAAAGCCAAAAACAAGATTTTACAGAATGTCTGAATGTGATTGAGAAACATCGATCTTGAACTATCATACAGATAAAAGATCCTATTTCTCGTACATTTTTGTGTAAAACTCACAAAATCTTGATTTCCAACTTCACTAGATTACATATATCTCCATTTTTTATTAAGAGGTCAGAGACACTACTGGTCATAACATTGTTTTAATTATGACATTGAGGTACTAAACGAAATGGACGAGACAGACAAATCTAGCACTGGGATGAGTAGCACTGCGATTTTCATGTCTCGTACTAGAAAACTGCTTCCTTCATTTTAGCCGACACTCATCAACATGCAAGGGCAAAGATCACAACTGTGCACACGTGTTTTATGTAAAGAAATTTCATGACAGTCAACGTGTCATTTCGCATTTCCTTTTATAAAGTATAAATGTGAACTCCAATTACATTGTCGTAGCCAACGTATTTCAGTATCAATGCTACTTTATTTCAGCAGGGTGTGAAAATCTTGGAAATGGAAGTTGACCCTTGCATATGTTGACCGATATCTATTTACTAAACACACGTAATCATCTTTAGGATCCAATTAGATCCATCGACCCAAGAGTTCGCGGTTGACCTCTTTGCAATAAAGTATTTTGATGACAAGATGCCCTTAGTATTGTTCTTACCGAATATGAAACAGCCCTTTCTTTCGCTCTTGGAGTCAGATCTCACGGTGTTATCGGTCCCGGTGTGAAGAGTTTCACGCAGGGGAGGTAACTGGTGTGTAGTGGGCTGTCTTGAGATTCGCTACATGGAAACTATCGCCTCATTTCCCATAACATCCCATCTAGACCTATATCGCCACCAAAACACATTTCCACTCAAAAGCTATGTCACCCTGAATTTCTTGAATTCGTTACCAAATAAAAAAAATCCTTCATAAATTATATGTTCCACTGTACAGGCTCATGGAAAATTATCAAAATGTCACTGTTCATGTTCATGTATACACGTCCCAATATTCATAGTTTTAAAAATCTTGATTTAGAAATTTCAATTTTTCTCCGTCAGTGTTTTAATTAATATTTCAATTCTGAATGAAAGGGAGAAATTCATTGCCTGATTGTAGTAAGGACGTGCAAATAGAAAATTACGCCAGTTCCTTAATAGTGATGAGGAGCCTTGACTTCTGTGAAAGTGAAAATACTGACTGAAAATAGATCTATTTCTTAGTCCGCCGGTTGAAACAGAGCAATTGACAACAATTTTACGGCAATAATACAGGAAATACATGGATTTGAAATCTTCTCTTCACAATCATTAAATAAATATTAATCCAAAACTACCTTGGCCTCTGTATTAAGTTCGTTCAAGATCTTACCACGCAAGTCCAATATTTATGTATAGTTGATATAAGTATCGGAGAGGGCATAAATAATGTTGTACGAACTTGTGCCAAATCATGTTTTCTCTTTCATGGCAATAAAATAGGTTTAAACTAACTTAATATACATTCACCGAACCATAACTGAAAGGATCTTTAACTTTTCACTAGAATCAATATTTTTTCTTTGAAGTCGACGAAAAAAGTGTTTTTAGAAACATGTTTTGTTTTGCAAAGTAAGACAATATTTCTTTACTTTTCACAGATGACCAGGTTTACAGGTCATATAATTGGTGCATTTGTAGAAAATGTCGAAAGAAGGAAACTATTGAAGGTTAGCTAGTTTGGAATGAACCGCTATCAAATAGACCCTGTACATTGAATGTCCGGAGAGGATATTTCAAGATGGCGGCAACGAAGCTTACGGAACAGTAGGATGTTACCGACATTCTGGTCACAATCATTACAGCTCCTATGAATAGGGATTAAATACTGCTATATGAGTTGCTGTGATTTTTTCAGCAACGGATATCTCAGAAATACTAGAAGAGTTGAACACCATCATCTACAGTGAAAAGGGTACAAACGAGCTTCAAAGTTTAAGCAATATTGACTCCAAGTCGGATGTTGAAACTGAATTTAAAGCGGGCAGGGAGCAATGATAGTATGCAGAGTATACCTACAAATGTTGCTAGTTTACAGTATATATCGCCAAATTTGTTAAAATTTGAAAGCTTTTTTTTCAGCGGAGGGGACACTTCAGCAGAAATTCCAAATAGTGGCAGACTATTTGTGTCCCCTCCGTTGACATATGATTCCGTCAGCTCTTTAAATCATGGATATTGGTATGGAATTGTTAAAATGAAGTCTACAACATTCAGCGTCACACTGCTAAGTACTCAATTGCCATACATATATTTTCATAACTTTGTACATTTTTGAATTTACGGAAAGTTACAACTAGTTTCGCGCGAATTTCTGATGAAGGTCGGTCAAAATGATAACAATTCACTTTTCAGTTGGAATACTAGCCCATACTCATGCGCTAATGTCGACCGAAGTCGGCTTACGCCTGAAGTGTATGACGCAATTGTCTTAAAACACCTAGATTCATAGTACCTATGCAGTTACCTCGAAATATCTTCTTCGGACCACATACACACATGGTATCTTCCACAGTCATCCGGATGTAATACACCAGTGCCCTGTCAGTCTTTTCCTCCTATCGGAAGTCTGACCTAACCACATCATTTTATCAAATCATGCCAATTGGCCATTTATCTGACAACTTATACCACTGATGCTTGCGATCAACACTTCGAAGCACGTGGCTAACTTTATTTGATTTGACAATGAAAATAATTTTGGGCAATGTAATTTGTCTTGTGTCCTCGCAACAGCCAAGGGCACCTGAAGAAGTACAAGGACGGTGGTCGGTTGTCTTTATAGTGCTGTCAAACTGAAATATCATACTTTGGATACGATCATACAGGTGAATATATCTACCTCACGAGCACGGTAAATATTTGCATTTTGGAGTTCGTGTCACCCTAAATTGACAAGAGGTGTTTTTTTGTTTTTGTTTTATGATCTTGTGTTAGTTTGCCCCGGAAGTTTGTCACTTGAAACAACACTCTGTAGTCAGGTTTTAACCTTATATATTCGCACACAAGGTGCTAACATAATTACAACAATAATAAAACCGCTCGATATTATCTTAGAGTTCTTATAACGAAGTTGGAATTCAGCAGCATTCTCAACATTTTTTCTCGTGCTTGTTTGTTTGTTTTTGTTTTGTTTTGTTTGTTTTTTGTTTTTGTTTTTCTTATTTTGTATAAATAAGAAAAAATATAAGCGATTCCAACCAGATAACAGCATAAAAATGGTAGAATACAACGTAAAGCAGCCTATTCAAGTGGTGTCGTATTGTTGTCAAGCGTAAGTCAAACTATCTTACGTCAAAGAGTGTGCTAGTATTTCCAAATTATCATTAGCATCGCTGCAGTTCATTTTCGGATCTTTTTAACTTTTCACCTTTTAAAATGGGAAAATATATGGTTTGCCTTTAAATATCGTATATATATCGATATATATAATTCTCTCGTATGATGACAGAATATATTAATATTTCTCAGTTGTGAAAAAATATATATTTTTCTTTCATACTCGTAAAATATACAAGTGATATTCAACGGGAAACCATTAAAAAATGGCCAGTGTCTTAAAATATACTTAAGCGAGTCACTTTTGTCTTTCTGTCCCAATTCAAAATACAGCTTATATATAAAGACACTGGTCATGTATTATATTTATACTGAAACACTGATTGATAATTCAGGTTTTCGAAACGTTAAAAACTTGTTATTTAATCTTTGTATAACTTGACATTAACGTTATGGTAAATCTTGCCGGATAATGTACGCCAAAATAATTATTCCGCGCGAAATATAGTTCCTAAGTTTAACAGGTGTAACAGCAATTTTACGAATTTACGTAAATGGTAACTTGTTCTTAACAACATGTATAATTGCTCATTTAACAAGTTATTTATATTTCAAATGTCATCTAAGTAAATTTTAGAGGAAATTCTGTGGAATTCATGCATGCGCTAAAAAATACATATATTTTCCGAAACTACCGAATGCAGCAGAAATATATGTGGCAACGCATTTGCAGATGAGGATGAATACCCTTTATGTCTTCACGGAATTCTAATGTATAGTCAGGCTTGATGATAATCGATTGTCTGTCTTGGACGGAGACAACAATAATCATCAATAACTGGAGACCACGACGATTATTTAGAAGATATCTGCCTTTATCGACGACCACGGTGATATCCGTAATCATAATATCACAAGCGATAATCGAAATCCGTGAATCGACTGCCTAGCTTGGCAAACACGGTGATAATCGTTTGTCGAGGTCAGGTGTGTTGTTTTATATGTTCATGTGAAGAGAATGAATTGTAATACACTTGGGTTCAAAACGTTTGTTTAATGTTATATTAATATATGTTGAGGTATTTCCGACATATCCCAAGATTGCAAATCAAACTGGAAAAAAATATGATCGCAATTCATCATTAGGATCACTACAGTACAATGATCATATCGCTAAACTGAAGTTGACTAGAATGTTTTGATTTCATATTTTAAAAGCAATGTCATACATAATTTACATAGGACATATGTCCCTGGTCATCACAGACATAACCACAAACTCGCCTACGTGTTTTTTAAACATAAATGATAAATAAAATACCCATCGGCAAATATCTGCTAGATCTCCAGCTCTAGCCGAAAGGCAGTAGAAAAAAGATCAGTTTGCTGTGAAAACACGTGTCGTAGATTTTACCCATGTAAGTTCGCACTTTCCTTCATTATACTAAGACTTGATCGATAAGATGAGTGATTGACCTCTTAAAGCAAGTCGCGTCGTTTTTTCGCCTGCGGTAATTTTCCGTAGTGGGGTAAATGACCCATGACATGACCTAGAAGTCCCGTCCACGCTGTCGATGTAAACAAAGATGGCTATTTTTGGCGCATATTGATCCACCAATGGCGTTCGATGTCAAAGGGCGTGTCAGAACGTGCGCGTCTTCCGAAATGCTATAACAACATATTCGATTGGTTAGAACATTTTAGTGTGTTGTAAAATCTTTTTTGATTGGTCAAATTTAAGGTACGCGGCTTTCATTCTCTGTCCTGCTCTGAACCGTTAGCGTCACTTGAAAATTACTCCCGGGTTTGCAAGTTTACCGTTGCACAAACAAGTCTTCTTGGTATGTAATTACAGTTTTTCTTGACTGAAAAAGCTATGGATAAGTTGTCTCCGATGAAGTTTATTTTGAAAAATATATGTTTTAGTGTTTGTATTAGACTTTTTGGTATTATATGCTAAAAAAAGTCTTGCTCGGTTTTTAGGGGTCATGTCGGGTTATGTTTTTGACGAGTCGAGAGCCTTAAGTTTGCTTGCCTGTTACCATATTGCTCATTTACTGTTTTAAAGTGATGAAAATTCTGCATGGATGTATATTTCATGTTCATTTTACTGGCATTACTTTAAGTGATTAATTCAATACATATTACAGAAGAAGAAGAAATCGGTGACAAAATAACATCGCGAAAAGGCACTGCATCAATGGCGTTATCAAAACAAACATGGCTGCTTGACAGTTAGGCCTAGACCAGTTACAACATATCATGCGACTTTGAATGCCGTATCTAAATTATTTTGTTAATTTTCTATTACATTATTTTTCAGCAACTTGAAAGTTTTTAAAAGCTCAAAATGGCAGCAAGGAAAGGTAAGAGAAATTTTCAGAAAACCGTATTTTATTGCATAAATCATATGGAAATTGAATTTGTCAATGTTTGCAAGTTTTAGTATCGTTTCTGTTTTAGTTTGTGGTAGGTGCGTCGTGATCGTATAGTCTTTAAAGTGTAAAACACACCACCTTAACAGTAAATTTATACATGAACGGTATTTGTAGCCATACGTAGCTAGAAGACCTACATTTCTCGGTTGACAGTTGTTGCTTATAGGATGTACTTTTCTTGATGATGAAAACTACTTTTGATGATTTCTTGATAACATCTTGATGAAAGAATGTTTAACGGAAGTAAATGAAAATGAGTTGTAATTATACTGTGAAACTGAATGATTCATTTTATTTGTTTTCAACAGCAGCAGCAGCAAAGTCTCCCGCAAAGAAGGCCGCGGCCAAGCCAAAGAAGGGTGTGAAGAAAGGAGGTATGTTCATAAACTATTAGCAAAATAGTGTTACTTAGTGTTATGGATTCTGATCTGATTTGATACTCAAGAGCAGATGTAAAATATTGGAAATTTTTAAGCTTTATGTGTAATGTAGCATTAGTAAAATGGGACATACTGCATACCTTGTAAGTCAAAGCCCATATAGCAATATAGATAATACTTAAGCTTTCAGTAAACCCACTTTCTATAAACTGCTTTATTAATGAGTAATAAGCATATATCAATTTTAGTATCACAATAAGGTTTTCAGCATCAGGTATATTTGTATTTAATCTTTGGTGTATTTGATAGCTTCCATTTACTCTGTACAAAACAATTAGTTATTTAGGAATTCCTGTACAACAAATTTGTCATTTTTCATAGTAAATGTTCTGTTTGAAAGTTACTATCAAAAAGGTGTACGCTTGTGCTTCTTCCACGATAGGTAAAAAGTAAAGACGAAAAAATATCATTTTTAACAACTCAAATGAGTATGAATTTATCTTTTATGAAGGTGTGAAAAAAGCCACAAAGAAGGCAGCCCCTGCAAAGAAAGCAGCAAAGAAAGGAGCAAAGAAGGCAGCAAAAAAGGCAGTAAAGGGAAAGAAAGCAGCAAAGAAGTGAAGCTAGCACCATGTCACCTCAATGCCTTGTCATCATCCAGCCATTACTGTTCATTCATCTGTTGTCTTTCTTGTTGACTGAGGCGGGTGTTTTATACTGAACTTTAGTAATATATGTTTTTATTGACTGTAGATAATTTATGAATTGTAGATTTTTATTCATTTAAAAAATAAAGATCTGGATATTAACCTGCATCTTTTCATGAATTGCCTCAACATATTAAAAATTTAAAGTCATTAACATAGCAAAAATCCAACTCATATTTATCAACGGAATCCGTTGCAGAAATACTCCTGTCTTGGAATGACATATTGTCAAACTTAGAATGAAGATGTGTGTAATAAAACTTTAATAACAAAAGACGCTGTAGTAAAATGTCTTTTTTATTATTATTATTTCTTTTACTTGGTTTTATCTTAGCCTACCATATCAGATGGTGAGCTGTTCAAATCGCACTGCATCTGTGATTTGTCATCAGTTCCTAAAGATTTGTCATGTTGTTGCATTTTTTCCAGTGAAATTTAAAGTTTTTATGGTGTGAAAATATAAGTGATATTTCATTTAGTTGATATTCTTCCTCATAGTGGACCAGTGGATAGCTGCAACAGCATAGAAACTTCATAATCACTAATTAGAACCTTCTTAATCATGGATTGTAATCAAACATAATTTGAATGGAAGCATAGTTAGGTGGTAAGCATACCAAGTTGTACAATGGCAGGGCAAAATTGACTTTGATACCAATTACTTGCTAGTTATTGCTAATTTTGACTGGTAGCATCCTAGGTGGTGGACATTCAAAATTATACAAACGGTGCCAAGGGCATCACCAAAAGAGATTTGAAAGCAAATTCCATATAATCAATGGCAAAAACAGAAAGAAGAGAAAATATACTTTTTAAACACCAAACAGTGGGCACATACACTTGTCTCTGGGATCTCTGGTTTTAGGCTTGTAGAAAATGTAAAAGTAGCAACTTATCACAATGACAAGGATGAGATTGATTGGAGACTTCAGTCAATCGCTGTCCTGTTAGGTGTTATCAAATGTGGTCATTGCACATCATATGTAAAGAGTATTAATATATTACTGTTTCAAAATCTTCAAAGGTATCAACAGTACTGATATCCATGGAATTTAACCTGGATGAAAATTCCTTTTGTCATGGGCAGTTGTATCTGACTTGTGAGATGATATAAACAATGACAAGCATTTTGATAGTCAATGTCATTACTTATGTAGAAATTCAGAAGGGTATGATAAAAATAATCATTCCTCTCTTAGATGAAGAAATAGGCTTCTTTGGGAATCTCATTCCTTACAAACAGGGTAACATTAAGGCAGGCTACATTTTCACAAGCCACTGCTGATTTCTTGCATGAAAATGGGAGTTAAATTTTTCTACATCCAAAAAAAAATTGTGTAATTGAAATCTGTTGCTTGATTATGTTTTGGCCTCAAACAGAATTGTCATGTATTTACATTTACACTGTTTCAACAATATGTTAAGGGTTAGGGATTCACTATTGTATGTAGAATCTGCCTGATGCTGGATAAAAGGTACATGATGTTTCATTGACTGGGCAAAATTCATGCTTCCAAGTATTTAAAAAATGGTATAAATACAGTGGATATAATAATCTATCAGAAAATGATAGAATTGAAAACAAAGGACTGAGAGTTTGAAATTATCAAAATTATGGAAATGGCCAAAACTATTGTATAAAAACCTTTTTTGATCACAATTTCAACATACCATTTAAAAATTAACACACAGTTTACTAACAATGGATTTTTCAACACTACCAAGACTGCAGTGTGTTATTAATTCTGTGTGGAGTCATTGGGTGTGTCGGGTGCTGATGAATTATTAAGTTTACAAGTGTTGGATCTTTCAAGCATTGATGCAGGTGGGAAGTGCCACTGTAGATTATAGTCATACATAATTCAAGATCAATAAAAAACACCATTCTCCACCATTGGCTGTCAAGCTTATTGCTATACCATTCTCTGGGTTTTCCTGCGATAATTTCTGGATTACATCAAAGTGCTGCTTTTCCTGTACTGACAGAGTGAAAACGAAGGGCAATAACTCTGGGAAATTAGAATGAAAAAGAAACCCCACAAAATTAACTGTAGAACTGGACATCCAATCTGGGTACTTGACTAGTATTTGATGTCTCATTATATGATTAACTGTAGAACTTGATGTACCACCATTTAAATGACTGAAGTACTAGATGTCCAACTGCCTCTTTGTATTGATTTAAATAGTAGGACATCTAGTAATACAGTCAATACAGACAGTGAGATGGTGGGACATCTAGTGCTACAGTCAATACAGACAGTGAGATGGTGGGACATCTAGTGCTACAGTCAATAGACAGTGAGATGGTAGGACATCTAGTGCTACAGTCAATACAGACAGTGAGATGGTGGGACATCTAGTAATACTGTCAATACAGACAGTGAGATGGTGGGACATCTAGTGCTACAGTCAATACAGACAGTGAGATGGTGGGACATCTAGTGCTACAGTCAATACAGACAGTGAGATGGTGGGACATCTAGTGCTACAGTCAATACAGACAGTGAGATGGTGGGACATCTAGTGCTACAGTCAATACAGACAGTGAGATGGTGGGGCATCTAGTACTACAGTCAATACAGACAGTGAGATGGTGGGACATCTAGTACTAAAGTCAATACAGACCGTGAGATGTTGGGACATCTAGTACTACAGTCAATACAGCCAGTGAGATGGTGAGACATCTAGTACTAGTCAATACAGACAGTGACACAGTGGGATAGCTAGTACTACAGTCAATACAGACAGTGAGATGGTGGGACATCTAGTACTACAGTCAATACAGACAGTGAGATGGTGGAACATCTAGTAATACAGTCGGTGAGATGGAGCAACATCTAGTACTACAGTCAATACAGACAATGAGATGGTGGGACATCTAGTACTACAGTCAATACAGACAGTGAGATGGTGGGACATCTAGTACTTCAGTCAATACAGACAGTGAGATGGTGGAACATCTAGTAATACAGTCGGTGAGATGGAGCAACATCTAGTACTACAGTCAATACAGACAATGAGATGGTGGGACATCTAGTACTACAGTCAATACAGACTGTGAGATGGTGGGACATCTAGTACTACAGTCAATACAGCCATTGAGATGGTGGGACATCTAGTACTAAAGTCAATACAGACCGTGAGATGGTGGGACATCTAGTTATACAGACAGTGAGATGGTGGGGCATCTAGTACTACAGTCAATACAGCCAGTGAGATGGTGGGGCATCTAGTACTAAAGTCAATACAGCCAGTGAGATGGTGGGACATCTAGTACTACAGTCAATACAGACAGTGAGATGGTGGGACATCTAGTACTACAGTCAATACAGCCAGTGAGATGGTGGGACATCTAGTACTACAGTCAATACAGACAGTGAGATGGTGGGACAGCTAGTACTACAGTCAATACAGACAGTGAGATGGTGGGACATCTAGTACTAGTCAATACAGACAGTGAGATGGTGGGACATCTAGTACTTCAGTCAATACAGACAGTGAGATGGTGGGGCATCTAGTACTACAGTCAATACAGACAGTGAGATGGTGGGACATCTAGTACTACAGTCAATACAGACAGTGAGATGGTGGGACATCTAGTTATACAGTCAATACAGACAGTGAGATGGTGGGACAGCTAGTACTACAGTCAATACAGACAGTGAGATGGTGGGACATCTAGTACTACAGTCAATACAGACAGTGAGATGGTGGGACATCTAGTTATACAGTCAATACAGACAGTGAGATGGTGGGACAGCTAGTATTACAGTCAATACAGACAGTGAGATGGTGGGGCATCTAGTACTGAAGTCAATACAGAGTGAGATGGTGGGACATCTAGAACTAGTCAATACAGACAGTGAGATGGTGGGACATCTTGTACTACAGTCAATACAGACCGTGAGATGGTGGGACATCTTGTACTACAGTCAATACAGACAGTGAGATGGTGGGACAGCTAGTACTACTGTCAATACAGACAGCGAGATGGTGGGACATCTAGTACTACAGTCAATACAGACAGTGAGATGGTGGGACAGCTAGTACTACTGTCAATACAGACAGCGAGATGGTGGGACATCTAGAACTAGTCAATACAGACAGTGACACGATGGGACATCTAGTACTACAGTCAATACAGACAGTGAGATGGTGGGACAGCTAGTACTACAGTCAATACAGACAGTGAGATGGTGGGACATCTAGTTATACAGACAGTGAGATGGTGGGGCATCTAGTACTACAGTCAATACAGACAGTGAGATGGTGGGACATCTAGTACTACAGTCAATACAGACAGTGAGATGGTGGGACATCTAGTACTACAGTCAATACAGACCGTGAGATGGTGGGACATCTTGTACTACAGTCAATACAGACAGTGAGATGGTGGGACATCTAGTACTACAGTCAATACAGACAGTGAGATGGTGGGACATCTAGTACTACAGTCAATACAGACAGTGAGATGGTGGGACATCTAGTACTTGTTTATACAAACAGGGACATAATACTGCCATGTACTGTACTCATTTTTGTTCACAAATTCTAAATCTGACTTAATAATTTAAATGTTGGACTTGAAAGCACTTTCCTCTGTGCAAACGATCATCGTGAAATTGACTTAATTATATTTGAAATGTGAACAAACAGAAAACTTTATATGGCACCTTACCATTTCATAGAAATAAAATGAGAGAATCTAGAGTATAAAACAAGATGATGTTTAATTGTGAACAACACAATGAACAATGTATATTTCGACATTATGGTAATTCAATACATCATCATCACTCTTACTTGTATACAATATAAATTTTCTGCTAATGAGAAGATGTTGACAGTGACTACTGCATCAATCTGGAGTAAAAGAACATTTTTCATTCTTTCTCACACTCAACAACTAAAATAATAATGAAGTAAAATTAACAAGAAAGTGACAAATAGATCCACTCTCTTTAAGTCATCACACTGATACTGGTATTTAGGTAACCTTATCTTAATCTGAGGTCATATCAACAACTGATCTTAGATGTAACAGGACTGGAAACTCTAGGCATTGCTACAGCCAATGTAGAGTCATCACATGTAACCATGATTTCCATCCAAGGTCATCACAACAGTCAGTCTAGGGTCATCATATGTAACCAGGACTGCCTACCATCCAAGATCATCACTAGTCAGTCTAGGGTCATCATATGTAACCATGACTTCCATCTAAGTTCATCACTGCAGTCAGTCTAGGGTCATCATATGTACTCATGACTTTCATCCAAGTTCATCACAACAGTCTAGGGTCATCATATGTAACCATGACTTCCATTTCAGGTCATCACAACAGTCAGTCTAGGGTCATCATATGTAACCATGACTTCCATTTCAGGTCATCACAACAGTCAGTCTAGGGTCATCAAATGTAACCATGACTTCCATTTCAGGTCATCACTACATTCAGTCTAGGGTCATCACAGGTAATTATGACTGCCATCCAAGGTCATCAATACAGTCAGTCTTTAGTCGTATGTAACCATGACTTCAATTTTAGGTCATCACTACAGCTGGTCCCAGGTAATGATACCCATATATACATATAGTGTAAAATTAATCACAATTTATGGAGGCTGTGAGAGCTGCTAGAATGTCAGACAAATGCAATCTTGAGGAAACATCCAAGGTGCATGATTTTACCCCTACCTGGGTTGGTTTGCTTTCTCAGGAAGTTGAGATCTGAAATAGCATGAGACAAACCTCGCATGATATCTAGTGAGGTAGTCACAAGTTATACACTTCATAATGACATAGTATGTATTTTGGTGTTAGCCTTTAGTTCAATATTTCTGTTATTTCAATACATTAATTATACATGCTCACACCAGTTGTTAAAGATATTGCCTCCTGATTGCATTGCCATGCATGATTTTAAACATTCCCTATAGCAAGCAAGAAAGACTTCTATCATAATCCGTTTGGTTTTTTTTTCCAATTTTTTATTAATATTTCAAATACACTTCACATTGGCATCTTGTTCCTATACTTTGTTGTATTGTAGTTGACTTTTAAGTTACTTAAACATTACTAACAACAAGTGTATTATATTGAAAATAATTGAATGAAAGTTTGTGTATTGTTATGCGCAACATATCGAAGCTATAAACATTTTGTTATTACAATATCATATGTGCTATACGGAAACCACAGGACATTCACAAAACAAACCAGCTCAAATGGAATTTCTACAACAAGCTTAAACAGGAGATCCAAGAGAGGTTTTGGCACCCATTTTTATTTGCTCTTTAAAAGTTTTATCTTGTTCCCTTCTTTCTTCTGTTTTTGCTCTTACTGACACGAAATTTGAAAAGTGATAATCAAATCTCTCAGGGCAAAATCCAAGAAGGTCAAGTGTTGGCCTTTTTATTTTCCTGATCAGTCCCATAGTCAGAAAGCCACAGCAAGGGACCAAGAGACCCTACATATGAAATTTGAGAAAGATCCTTTCAGTACTTCTCAAGAAACAGTGATCACAAACTTTCACAGTCAGAATCCAAGATGGCCACCTGTCAAATATTTTGTTTCCAGATCAGTCCCAAATCAAAAGTATATTTCTAGGGACCAAGGGGCAACGACACATGAAATTTGAGGAAGCTCCATCTAGTACTTAGTCTTAGTAGGGATAACATTGTTTTTCATGCAGACGACTGACCACAAATGTTGGACGAGTTAAAAAGCTAACAATCTAAAGATGGCAAGTTTAAAAAGTTCCCAGTTTACTTATACAGCACAACTTAAAATCAAAACACATATGCAAATTAACTTAAATTAAGTCAGTGATTCACTTAAGTATTTGGTTCCATCAACCGAGCATAATCCTAAAAGTTTAACTTCCAGACACACATGACACTAAATAGTAAACATCATCACACAAGCACACTCTCCTACAAGCACATCTATACACAAACACACCCTTATAAAAACAAACTATCACACAAGCATGCCCTCGTAGATGAACATCCTCAACTTTCATACACTTGGTTGATGAAATGATAAATATTCAAAAGCAGAGAATTCTTTTCCAGAAACCTTTCTCCTTACTCTATAAATATTATATCCACTAAGGTCTATTTGTATAATGCTGGAAACCTTCTATTTACTCTGTGAAGTAATGTTTTGACAAAAATTTACATTACACTTTGTGTAAATCAGAGCAATTCTCTTGAAATAACTATCATTACAATAATGTATAAAACTTTACCTTAAATGTAATCCCTCTTACTAAAAATAAACAAGGCAAATAAAAAAAGCAGATCATGTTGTAAATATGTTCATGATACTTTCTGGTACCAATGCTCTATTTTCACCTGATAAATTGTAAAGGTATTTCTACTGTTGTACTCTTTTCACCCACAGATCTAATACATGTCTCTGTTTAGTAAACTACAATTTTCATATATTGCCAAAGTCACTTACCTACATAAACAGAGAAAAACATCTCAAAATTTTACATACTATATTGACAATTTAAAATATTTGCTTTTGAATGCAGTGTTGTTATGTCTGCATGTAACTACAAATGCACCAACACCAGTAAATTTATTGAACTTTTTAGTCCCTTAGACACAACATCTGCATTACAATATAAGGCATACATTATACTACTGATTGGCTGATATGACATATCAACATCACATAATCCTTGCTACGTTAAATATGTTACACACTTCAGGTGTAATGAGGCAACATTCATGCCTCCATATGTCAGAAGATTTTTTAGTCCTCAAACATTTTATTTTTTTCTGTAAAAATATTAGTCATTTTCATATTACTAGGTATGTGGTACTACTGACATCATATCACAAAATAATGATTACCTGATTATGGTCATGTGACAGTATCTATAACTTTTCCCCGTCTGAGTTTTTGCCATTGTACTTCATTTCAACTAAAAACCATTAAAGAAAGCGAAGTAATTTTAGGTTACTTACCTGTAAGAAAGCAAACTTATTTAGAATTACTTACCTGTAAGAAAGTTATTTTTAATAAGCTATAAAACACTGTAACTGCTCATATCTGATACATGAGACTTGCGCCAACTGATTTCAGTACTTTTACTGTCTATCTGGTGGATAGGCATGACTTCAGCTTGACCACGTTAAACAATTAAACTCTCTATTTCAAGATACACTGACCACAAATTTTACCTGTTACAAGTAAAAGTTAGTAATATAGAGTTAGTCTTATCACAAGTGTTCATCATTGAAAAATGAATAACAGGCCATAACTACTGAAAGGCAAACCTAACTGAAGTTTGTGACTGTTAACAGCTGTCTTATGTTCCAAAACATGGTCATTATAAGAAACATCATCATAACAGATCATAAAAATGTCCTGAGATGTACCATGATCAAAGGTGCCTGATCAATTGTATGCCTGGACAGTGACACAAGCACAGACCAAGAAATGAAGTTGTAATCTGTACTCTACATTGGTAGTACCAGTTCTGGTCATAGGAGTAAGTCAGTAGGAACATTCTGTGGACAACAGAAAACAACTATATGAAGTAGTACAATGGCAAAAACTTACAAGGGAATTGGAAGTCTATGTACATGTAACATTAACAAGCTAGTTCACAATCAACAGCTGTCTTTATGGTAAGAATCATCATGACATTTTTACATGGTTCGAAAATGATCATTTGACTGCAATGGAAAATGTCTTAATGAACATATGAAATTAGTCTGAAATAAATAATCAAAGATCTCCATTTCGGTGTCTTTCTCGTCCATGTCTGTCTCGATGTCGTTCCTTACTCCGTGATCTTGATCTTCTATCACGATGTGAGTGTTTAGAACTTTTTTTAAGGTGCCGTTCTCGACTGTGTGAACGTTTGCGATCACGACTCCTTGGCCGTGTATCTCTGTCCTTGGCCCTTTTCTGTCTCTCACGCTCTCTTTGCAGGTCCCGTGCAAAGTCACCCCCACTTGATTGTGCAGATCTTCTTGAAGGTGAAGGTCGCCTTCCCCTAGATCGATGATGATCTGGTGAATGTCTACGATGATCAGGAGATGACCTATAGTGAGGTGATCGACGTCGGTCCGGTGATCGTCGATGAGGTGATCGTCGGACGGGTGATCGTCGAACAGGTGATCGTCGTGGAGATCTGCGTGATTGTGGAGATGATGTTCCTCTATCGGGAGACCTATATCATAAAGATTCAAAACAAATAAATTACCTTCTAAAATGATATAGACATTTTTCCTTTCAATGATGACATTTACAATGTATAAACTATAACAAATGACTGAAATGGTTACCCATTACTCTCTACCTACCTTCGTCTGTGCGACATTCTCTCTGCCTCCCCAAAGCTCAATTCCTCATCAGGTATATGCTGTGGCTGAGTGGTGACTAGCTCTTCCTCCTCTTTTGCTGGACAGGACCACTGATGATTCTTCAGCTTCTGCATAAGATCTTTTTGTACTGGTACAGGGATACGCGGAAACAAGGTGGAGTACCATTCCAGCTTAGTCATCCACTGACGAATCATTTCACCGATTGGCATCACATGACCTCCACCTGCCTTTACATCTATTTCCTGTAATGAGAGACCAAAAGTGAAACATGAGTAATATGTCAGAACCATGTGACAAACTCGGACAAATGTTAGCTATCTTGTACTAAATGGGTTTGCTCTAGTGTCCCAGTGGGCTGAAAGGTAAATATCTGTTGTATGATATTATACTAAGAACACATGAGCCAGACATGTAAATCTTCCTGGCAGCAGGAAGTTACGAGATTTCCTAGATGCTTGACTACATAAATACATTTCAAACCACTGACATATAGAGAAAAAAAGAGAAAATTTGTTTGTGCAATAATCGAACCCAATTAATTTGAACATGGATTTATCGTTATGTGTCCACATGTAAAATCAAAGTCCTATCCAAACGCCTTGTTATTCTCTGTTACTTTCATATGAGAAACTCTTTGACTTTACACTGTAATTTGTCGTTTTCTTGTATGAAAGAGCACAGGTCTCCATATTAGCCTTGACTTGTGGGGTTTCCCGTTTAGTGAAGTGGAGAAGTGCTTGCCTTGAGAGCAATAAATCACTTGTTTGAGCCTCAGCAGTGCTAGAATAAATTTCTTATTACTATCTCCTATTACGGAATCATGGTTGATTTCAGATTCAGCTAAAATTAGGTTAATTTGAAGAATTTCATCAAGCATTTCAATGTAACTGGGTTCGAATAAATAAGCAAAAACAAAATCCTAGGTAGTCAGTAAATTATTGCAAACAATTGATATTACCTAATCTGTCCAAGCTCACACCAACAACTTTATACAAGTATAAAGCTTTCTTTGATATTTTGTCTATTCTGAACATAATCACAACACAATGTATTTGTTTATAAATATCAATGACAAACTCCATTTTTCACAGTATCAATTACCAAAAGGTGTGATTTACCAAATGTTATGATTTATTGAAAGTTGAAACGGAGTGAGCACAGACAGTGTATAATTCAAACAACAGAACATTAACTTTGGACTGAGATGTGTTTTTACTACATACTGCATGTTTTCATACCACATTCATATAAAATATGTAATAGTTAATTTCAACAAAGTGATTTTTTGTTGTCTGTAGATAATTGGTGATATGATTAAGGTGATTTTGTGTGTGTATGCATGTTATTATAACCTCAAGTCAGAGGTCAAAGGTCAATCCACGGTGAATTGGCGAACTTGCTATCGTGAGACCAGCCCTCATCGGGATCTAGAGCAACACCCTGCAGTAATACAAAACAAAGTCTATAGTGAAGGCATCGTCAGTCATTTCTTACAAATGCTCAAGTTTACCTTTAAATTTGCATTAGAAAACACTTTCTGAGATCTTTTTCATTTGAAGGAGTTGCTCTTCTCTAATAAACATTGATGTAAGCTCAAGGATTTACACAAGAATATGGTTTTAGTTGTACTTCCTGAACATAAAAAGAAATTGGTATGATAATACACATTCATAGGCAGTGACACAAGAGTATCATTATCACTAAAATTTTGTTATAAGTACAAAGTGCGGGGTACTATACTCACCACTATACAAAAGCCTCCAGTCAGCCAGAGGATCCTCATGTGTGTGGGGGGGAAGGGGGAGGGGCATTACCTTACTCACTTCACTTATGTAAACAGAAATTTCTTGATCAGTTAAAAACTTTACTTTCTATCAAATTATCAAGTGACGATATATAGATAAGAAATCACTGTTTCAAAAGATGCATCTTATTTGGCATTTATTCACACATTGATAAAAGATAAAAGTTTCTATGATTCTTTTAACAGTATTATTGCATATCATAAGTTCCAGAAAATAGGCTTGAGCGGCCTGGACTTTGATGGGGAGGGGTGTGTGTTTGTGTTTAACATACCTCCTCATCTTCCAAGTATGGTTCATACCAGTCCCAAAGCTCTTTAGGGTCCTGTGTGTATCTGTAATTTAATAATACTTCTCTGATGAAACAATTAAAATTCTAACTGACAATTTCTACCTATCCACAGGAAATCACGGGATGTCAAATTATGTTACTGAAGTAGAATGTTTACAGATTTTATCCTTTGAGTACAATGGTAAGTTCATGAATCCTCTAAAATTCACTTGATAAATACAGCTTGTAGTGTGACCATTCTGCGATGTTAAAGAAAATTTAAATTTATCAACAGAAAACTGGTTTATGACGTGTAATTAACCCAGGAGGAGAGTATGACAACACAGGGTGCCAGTTGATACAACATAATATCAGTCTCACCTGATGTACATAAATCCCAGGCCACGTATGAAAGGAGAATCCTGGTGTGTGATAAGTCCTGTCACCTGTTTACGTGTCAATCTCAATGTAAACAGCTTGTACAGCAGACAATAAGCACTGGATACTATCCCTCCAGCTCCTACACCTCGTACCTATAAAACAGATCAATCCAATACAGGTACAATACATTAGTTACAGGTATTGTACACTAGTACACACCAGACTCTAGCCATCCAGTCTGTACAACATACCTATATAGATCACTCCAATACAGGTACAATACATTAATTACAGGTATTGTATACTAGTACACACCAAACTTAGCCATCCAATCTGTATAACATACCTATATAGATCACTCCAATACAGGTAAGATGCATTAGTTACAGGTTATTGTACACTAGTACACACCAGACTCTAGTCATCCAGTCTGTACAACGTACATATATAGATCACTCCAATACAGGTACGATACATTAGTTATAGGCATGCTACATACTAGTACACACTAGACACTATCCATCCAGCCCATACCTTTTACTTATATTGATCATTCCAACATAGTATTGATCACTTACACTCACTGGACACTACCCATTCTGCTCATACAATGTTTCTAATACTGCTTTATTACACATATTCTATTTCTACTTTTCATCGCTGTGCATACAAATATTGATGACAACATCTACTATTACGTCCTTGCAAACAGCTGTAATACTGTCAGCATTTTTAATATTTGCTATATTTACATCATATTTGTGAACAGGGCATCAGAAACTGTTGATGTACCTACCCCTCCACACATGCCAGTCTGCCCTGCTGTCTTCCTGCTGCCTCTTTCCCAAGGCTCTAAATGCTCCACCTGAAATAGACCAATTTTGTTCTTCATGTTCAGAGTTTGACAATTGACTCCCTGTTTGCTTAGTTCTTCAACTAAGCAACTAATTAAGTTATACACTTGTACTCCATTTATCGAAACCAACTACTGATCATGAAAACAGTTTTCAACAGAGTATTTTATACAAATATACAACGAACATAGCTACAGTGACCACTTTTATTTTACTGTAATACAGTAACACATGTCCATTGATATCATATACATATATTAGCTAAAGCTAGTGTAGTCAATAATTTTAATTATCTTTAAATGTAAAACTAGAGCCATTGATAACTGTTGTTTACATATTCACAAGTTATGCCCTCAACACAACAGGATCTACAATACAATAATGACTTACTCTATAGTAAATTTCATCAATAACTTCATGGTATGTCTTCAGTTCATACAAGTTGACCTTGAAGTAAGGAGAAGACTGTATATTTGTTAATATCAGTGGGTTCATGTTCATGGTCTTTTCATTGCCCCAGATAGGCAATGGATTGTTGGGTGGCATGGTCCTAGTTGGTCAAGTAGTTCTCTCACAGGTGTATAAAACAATCTGTTACCTGTAAAATAGTTTATATAAATTACAAACCTACATTTGTACATGGTCATGTATGTTGAAAAGCCTGTTTTATTACATTTGCCATTGGAATTTATCAATTTGATAAAAACTGATATCATTACAACAATCTAATACAAGTCAAGTCCTTAAGAATGTTTTCAAGATTGTTGTAATGTTCAGCTGACTAACAGTTCAACATATGACATCGTTTGGCATCTTGTGTTTATCCCAAGTTAGTCCAATGACAATAGGACTTTCAAAATGTTCTTCCTTTTTCTTTATGGAAACTCACTATATTAACCTTTTATGTATGAAAACTTCCTATCTCAAGACACTTTTTATTGAAGTGATCAACAGAAGATAATGAGATGTCAGACTCTCATCTGATTAGTTGTGTATTACTCATATCTTTTACTCCTATAAGAGTCTAATGATTATGACTTGTTAATGCAATTAAGAAATTTTGCAGAAATGTTTCTGAAAATGATAAAGATAAGATCCATTGTATTTAACAATTGTAACCAATTACAACAATTAATTAACATTTATATCATTAATATTATGTTCAAATTAAAATCTCATTCTTGAGACACTATATATCAATTTTGTGTACAGCAGCAATTTTTATATAATTTTTTGTTAAATTCTTTTGAATTAAATATCAATAGAAATTTCAACTTGAATGTCCATAATTATTCAAAGGCTTTATCAAAGTTAAACTGCGAAGCAACTTTCTGAGGTAGCATTAATGTTTTATGTATGTTGACACTGCATTGTAAACACTGGGTTTGCCAATCACTACCTGGATTATAGAGACATATTTTCATTCTTTTAAAATATATTTCAAACGAAAGTAACCTTACAATGCTAAATAATTACAGTGGATCCAATTTAAGATCTACATAATTACAGTCAAACATGAGTTTAACGATGCTGGGAATTAGAAAATATATGTATTTGTCACCAAGCTATTCTGGACTTGGTGAGAATTTGAAAGGATTTCTCATCCTTACGCACTGACTTTCTTTCTTCAAAACCAGCGAGTAGTCAAACTTCACAGTAATTTGTTTTCCTAAAAGTTCTTTAAATTTCTGTCCTGACCAAAATTCCCAATAAAATGAATATTCTAAATATATTACAACTATTCAGATGTTTGCAGTAGGTTTCAAACCCATATAATATTTGAATTGTTTCACGGAATGGATAATGCAACACATATCAAAAAACGATCATGAGGTCATGCGTCAGGTGAAAATTTTGGGCACAATGGGTCTATAAAACTGCTGTGACTCATTCATTTACTACTTCAATAACTCAAGTCTCCGTCTCTCCAATATACCATTAAAAACTTACCTTCATGAAGTTTAATCTTCCACTTTGTTATAACGAACTAATTCGTTCTCCTTCGACTACAGGAAGTTCTAGAAACGCTGTCAGCGCCGTCTACGAAAAAGCAATAAACAAGGGAGACGACTTCAACAAGGTAACTAAGGAACGACAACTCTGGTAGACAAGAAAAGCAGGTAGACATGGCAAATGCATTATAGTAAATGTCAAAATGCAAAATGCATTATATTAAAGTTCTTTGTATTTATTATGCTAAACGCCTCATGGGAAATGCTAAATGCCTAATATGTTATGCTGAACGTGAAAAACGGATGATTGATGTGAAGTAATTTTTATGAAAACATATACCCCAATGATTTGAAATGCTGAATGCTCTCATTTACTTCAGTACAGCTGCTCTAAATGTATGCCTAACTACAGGCACCGGTACGCTTTGTGTTTCTTTTTCAGTTCCATTAACCCCAAAGAATTTTTTTTTATCAAAACATATCTCGCATTAAGTATATTTGATTTGGCATTATGCTTTTAGCATTTGGTATTTGCATACAGCATTTAGCATGTACCATGTCAGCTTTACATAATTTGCCCTGATCTTAGTTTCATTTTTGGCATCTTGTGGAAATTCTACACTGTGGTCTCGCTATTCATGCAACAGAGGTCATTGTTTATTTCAATTCCTCTGCTTCTTAGGATTCGAACTAGTACAAATGTCCTCTGGTTTACTAGTAATGCATAAATGTAGTGTAAATTAAAATCACAGGTTTAGATACTAAAGTCTGTGTTAAATTGTGTTGTTACAAAACTTCGCAAAATAAATGTATTTCATTCAAATTAATATTAAAACCATCTGATGATGGTGGACTATTCATGATCAATTTGTCCTATGTCCGCCCACCTGTAAACAATTCTTCTTACCAATAACCACTGTTTGTTGAGAAATGCTGGACAGATCTCAAATTGCAATATGTAGGCCTATTATTGGTCCCTGGGCATTTTAATTTTGGAACTGGTGAGAAAAAAACAAGACTTATCGTTCATGAAAAATGTATTCCCCTTCACCCAAGAAGGCTTAATTTAGACAAAACTTGGGCAAAACCCAATCATTCTTACATGAATAGGATTTTAAAGAATTTGCTCAATTTCCCATTTTGGAACCTGCCCCTCCTGCCCAAGGGGGCTGAGACCAACCGTTTATACAAAATTGATTCCACTTCCTCCAAAAATACTTCAGACCTTTGGAGAAAGTCTAATCATTCCTAAGGAGGAATAAGATTTTAAAAAAGATGCATTATTATCCTCCAGTTCCCTATTGGGCCATGTCCCTTCTGCCTCAGGGGGCCGGGACTCATCATTTATACAAAATCGATTCCCCTTCCTCGACAACACTTTGGACCAACAGAATGAGTTGTATTTTAAAGAGTTTGCTCTATTTCCCCTTTTGAGCCCCACCCCTCAGGCCCCTAGGGGCTCAGACTTACCATTTATATTTTGTTTCCCTTCCCCCAAAGGATACTTCTGACAAAATTTGGTCAGAATTTGCCTAGTTGTTCATGACTAGTAGCGATTTGTAGAAAATGTTGACACATAAACTACAGATGCAGTTGTGTGCCAATAGCTCACTTGGCTCTTTGGGCTAGGGAAGCTTAAAAAAGGAAGAACAAATTATTGAAATCTCCCTAGAAAATAAAATAAAGCAAAAGTCAAAAGCTTGGTCGTGAATACCGCCTCTCCAGTAGTATTACACCTTGAATAGCGGATTTGTACTTACACCTTGAGTAGCGGATTTTTACTTACACCTTGAGTAGCGGATTTTTACTTACACCTTGACTAGCGGAAATGTACTTACACCTTGAGTAGCGGATTTTTACTTACACCACACCTTGACTAGCGGAAATGTACTTACACCTTGATTAGCGGATTTTTACTTACACCTTGACTAGCGGAAATGTACTTACACCTTGACTAGCGGAAATGTACTTACACCTTGAGTAGCGGATTTTTACTTACACCTTGACTAGCGGAAATGTACTTACACCTTGAGTAGCGGATTTTTACTTACACCTTGAGTAGTGGATTTGTACTAAGATCGAAAGTAGCGGATTTGTACTGACACCTTGAGTAGCGGATTTTTACTTACACCTCAAGAAGTAATAAAACAAGAGTCATCTCACAACAAAAACTTATTTTTTCTACTTTGAATGAAATCTTACTAAGAAGTTGTTTTCCATGGTGAAGATGGTGTCTTTGGTGAGGAGAAGGTAATTGTATCAAGTGATACATATTTTTTGACAGTACAGTTTGAGATAAGTAACGGGAAAACCATGATTGCGCAATCATGTTAAAAAATGGCCTCCCTGGCTGCTGTATCGAGGTTTTGGCAAGGTTGAAAAATAAGAACACTGTGTTGGCTACCTTTCCTTAACATTCCCACCAATTTTTAGCTCAGCAGCACCTGTGGTACTAGAAAAGTTTAAAATTTGTTTTTCAAGATGGTGGCCATCTTGGATTTCTGACACACACGAAAAATAACAACACTTGGCCAGAACCATCTTCGGATCATTTCATGTAAGTTTGAGCTCATTCCCTCTATAAGTGAAACTTGAGAAGTTTGAAATAGGTGTTGCACAGGAAAACCATGATTGCACAGACATGATACAAAATGGCCTCCCTGGCTGCTGTATCAAAGTTTTGACAAGGTCAAAAAATAACAGCATTTTGTTGGCTACCTTTCCTTAACATTCTCACAAATGTTTAGCTCAATGGCACCAGTGGAACTGGAGAAGAAGTTTAAAATATGTGTTTTTAAGGTGGTGGTCATCTTGGATTTCAGACATACCCAAAAAATACCAACATTGAGTTAGGACCATCTCAGGATCGTTTCATGCAAGTTTGAGCTCAATATCAATGGTGGAACTTGAGAAGAAGTTTAAAAAGAAAACAACTATTGATTTTATTTGATAATTCTTTTTATTTTTCTATCTTGGTATATAATATACAACCTGAGGTTACTTCACATAGCTCTAACATGACCTGAGATTTACTTGTGAAACTCTGAAATAATCCTAGGTTACCTTGGCCAACTCTGGTATGACCCAAGGTTACCTCACCCAACTCTGACATGACATGAGGTTACCTCAGACCTCTATCACTTAACACAGACCTAATATGGGTTACCACAGACTTCTATCACAGAGATGCGGTTACCACAGACCTCTATCACATAACACAAGCCTAATCTGTGGTTACCACAGGCCTTTATCACAAAACAGACCTACCCTGGGGTAACATCAGACCTCTATCACATCACATTGACCTGGGGTTACCACAGACCTCTACCAAATAACATGAACCTGATCCTGCTTACACAAGACCTCACACAGATCACATCACATAGAGACCTGACCTGGGGTTATCTCCGACTTCTATGACATAACAAAGATCAGGGTTACCCCATACTTCCATCACAGACACAGAGTTACCTCAGACCTCTAGCAAAGACAAAGTCTTATCTCAGACCTCTATCACATGACACAGATTGGAGTTACCTCAGACCTATATCACAGACACATGGTTACTTCAGACCTCTATTACAAAGCACAGATCTAACCTGGGGTTACCACAGACTTCTATCACAGAGATGGGGTTACCACAAACCTCCATCACATAACACAGACCTTATCTTAGGTTACCACAAACCTCCATCACATGACAAAGACCTTATCTTAGGTTACCACAAACCTCCATCACATGACAAAGACCTTACCACAAAACCTCCATCACATAACACAGACCTTATCTACGGTTACCACAATCCTCCATCACATAACACAGACCTTATCTACGGTTACCACAATCCTCCATCACATAACACAGACCTTATCTAAGGTTACCACAAACTTCCATCACATAACACAGACCTTATCTTAGGTTACCACAAACCTCCATCACATAACACAGACCTTATCTTAGGTTACCACAAACCTCCATCACATAACACAGACCTTATCTACGGTTACCACAAACCTCCATCACATAACACAGACCTTATCTACGGTTACCACAATCCTCCATCACATAACACAGACCTTATCTTAGGTAACACTAGAACTCTATCACATAACACAGGCCTAACCTGTGTTTACCACAAACCTACGGTATGTCTCTTACATGGACCTACCCTGGTGTAACTTCAGACCTCTATCTCATCATACTGACCTGACCTGGGGTTACCCCATACATCTGTCACAGACACGAGGTTATCTTGAGCTCTACTACAAAACACAGACCTAGCATAGGGTTACCCCATACTACTTTCACAGACATGGGGTAACCACAGACCTCTGTTACAAAGCACAGGCCTAACCTGGGGTTACCCCCATATCTCTATCACAGACACAGGGTTACCTCAAACTCTATTACAAAGCACAGACCAAACCTGGGTTTACCCAATACTTCTATCACAGACACAGGGTCATCTCAGACCTCTATCACATTACATTCTCAGTAACCCAGATTTAATGTATAATTATGACAAAGATCTATATCTATTTAGCATTTAATAGTAGATTTAGTATAAAATAGTAAAATATAAACTGGACCACAACCAAATCAAAGCTTTTCTACATCAGAGCAAGTTTTAGGGCTTGGATTCAGGAACTGTTGGAATTTTAACTGATTATTGATAACTATACAATACTTGTGTTAAATTCATCAGACACAAGTGACTTTCCAATAAATTAAACAACACAATTACTTTATCTTTAAAATGTTCTAATTCGTCATTAATATTGCAGCATCATCAATTCAGCATTTAAATTATTATCTAACAACATCATTAATTAATCATTAACATTATAATCTAACAACATCATTAATTGATCATTAACATTATTATCTAACAATGTCATTAAATTATCATTAACATTTTTATCTAACAACATTTTTAGTAATTCATTAAAATTATTCTCTAACAATGTCATTAAATTAGCATTAACATTTCTATCTAACAATATCATTAATTTATTAACATTTTAACAGGTTCAACAACACATCATTAAACATTCTATAATGTCATATCATTATTACAGCTTCATTTTCTGACAACAATGTAAATACATCTTTTATATAATACATACACCTGAAAAATATATATGTAATGAATCTTATCAAAATGATTAATTCATAATATTTATTAGAAAGGAAATACAATGGAGACTCAAAACCTCTGTAGAGACAGCATCATTTAAAGTTCGAAAAGATTGGTAAAATATGCAGTAATTGTAAAGTGACAGTCAGACAACTTACAAAATACAGTCACAAAGTCATACATCAAGCTTTTGACAAAGTACAGTGACAAAGTGATACATCAGACAACTTACACAATACAGTGACAAAATGATACATCAGACAATTAACAAAATACAGTGACAAAATCATACAAGTTATTGTATCCACAAGGCCCTATGGTTATAAAACTGCAATGGTTCATAAGTCTGTAAGTTACAACTGAATGAATTGGTCCCACTGTTGAATTTGTCTAAGATCTTGTTGACATAAGGCAGCTTACATAGTTTCATAAAAATCTATCCATATTTACTGAAGTTATCATGTCCACAAAGTTTAATGATGATAATATAAGATCCAAAATGGATCTTGACACCAACCGTCATTTGCTCTCATTTGTTAAAAGGTTAGATCTTTTCCTCTGTCATTTCTTCTTTTCTCATTTTTAATTTTAATAACATGAAAAATTTGAAAATTTCGTCTAGCAATATAAATCTTTTAACTGCAAAATCTAAGATGGCCCCTTGTCAACCATTTTGTTTTTCAGTCCCAAAAAGGACATAGCTAGGGAGCAAGTGAGAACGATCCAGTAATTCACAAGAAAAAATGATAACAAACTTATTGTCAAATCCAAGATGGCCATCTGTCAGCCATTTTGTTCTCTGACAAATCCCAAAATCAAAAGGCATAACTAGGGATCAAGAGAACTTATATACAACTTTCAATACAGACCTATCCAGATTTTCTCAAGAAATAACAATGACAAACTTACATTTTCAAAATGACTACCTGTCAGCGAGTTTGTTTTCTGATCAGTCCAAAAAACAGCCAGAACTAGGGACGAAGGGAAACCTATATATAAAATTTGAGAAAAATCTTAGAAAATGGTGATTACAAGCATTGTTTACCAATAGACAGACAATGAACCACAGACGAGGATGATTTGAATAGTCCGCCATGTAATAATGCTTGGTTTTAATTAGTTATAAAAACTGTAAAGGGCCATAACTCTGTAAATTAGGACCGATTACATTCTACTGTTGACTTTATCTGAGACTTTACTGATATTAGGCTGCTTCATTAAGCTTCATTAAAGTCTAGTAATATTCATTATTTATTGAAGTTATCGTGTTCATATGATCGAATGATAATAGCTTTATACCCGGTACTGCAAAGAGCCTAAACTTTGTAAGTTATAATCAAATTATTCCTATTGTTAAATTCAAGATATAAGACCCCTATATTAAGTTTAATCAAATGAATGTGTTCACAAGAAAAAGTTAATGAACGAGGCACAGCAATGGACAAGGAATGATTAGAGTAGGTCACCATGACCAATAGTAAGGTGACCTAAAAAAACTGTGACAGAGACCTATGTCAGACAACTAAAAAACTGCAGTGACAAAATTAGTAAAGTGTGTACACACAAGAATTTATTTGAAAATAAACAAAAACACATTAAATATATATTCAGTGCATCTAAATAAATTCAATACACAAAATTTTGTACATAAAACGAAATATTAAAAAATAGGTAATCTGATTCTGAAGGTATTGTGACAGCTTTATGTAAATTCAGTTTAGTTTAAAATATAGTGACATTATTACCTACATTTCAGAGGGAAAGTTCAGGCTAAGGAAAGTGTTTGCTCAGTCTTAATACAGTGTCAGCTTAGCCTTCATAAAGTGAAAACTGTAGTCCGTGTCAAGTGTCAGCTTGGTCTTAGTAAAGTGTCAGCTTGGACTTAAGTAAAGTGTCAGGTTAGTCTTAACTAAAGTGTCAGTTTAGTTTTCGTAAAGTGACAGTCTAGTCTACTATCAACAAAAAATTCAGGTTCAATACAGCTTCAATATCAGCAAAGCCTCAGTATCAACACAGCATCAGTATCGAAACAGCCCAGTATTAACACAATTTCGGTATCAACACTGCATCAGTATCAACACAGCCCAGTATTAACACAATCTCGGTATCAACACTGCATCAGTATCAACACAGCCCAGTATTAACACAATCTCGGTATCAACACTGCATCAGTATCAACACAGCTCAGTATTAACAAAATCTCAGTATCAACACTGCATCAGTATCAACACAGCCCAGTATTAACACAATCTCGGTATCAACACTGCATCAGTATCAACACAGCCCAGTATTAACACAATCTCAGTATCAACACTGCATCGGTATCAACACAGCCCAGTATTAACAAAATCTCAGTATCAACTCTGCATCAGTATCAACACAATCTCAGCATCAACACGGTCTTACTATCTACAAAGCTTTAGTATCAACACAGTCTCAGTATCCTCAGTATAAACACAGCTTTAATATCAACACAGTCTCAGTATCAACACAGCCTCGGTTTCAACACAGCTTCAGTATCAACACAATTTCAGGATCAACAGTCTCAGTATCCTCAGTATCAACACAGCTTCAATATCAAGACAGCCCAGTATTAACACAGTCTCAGTATCAACACGGTCTTCCAATGTACAAAGTCTCAGTAACAACACAGCCACAATATCAGCACAGCCTCAGATCGACACAACTTCAGTATCAACACTGCGTGAGTATCAACACTGCATCAGCACAAACATGGCTTCAACACAAATAACACTTACTGGTATAATTTCTGTTAAAATGACTAGAATAGAGAATTATTTTTTTTATATACTAAGTGAATGCCAGAAGTATACTGAAATATTTGTAATTCTGACATAAGATATGAGAAATACATATGAAAGACACTTGTTAAAATTCACAGTCATGAAATACCTGCAGGTCCAGAGTCATGACTCACATTTCATCCTTGTTAACATTTGGTTTTGTGACTATAAGGAATAAGCACCATTCTTACATATACTGTTGTCTGTCTAAAGTTACAACAACTTAAACAAGCCCAGATTTTTGTGATGCTGTACTTACACATATGTTGTGGGCCAAAACTTACCAACATAACTTTGTGCACTAGTTGATATTTGTGATATGCATACTTTTTATATCAATAATTACCATTCATGCAGCAATATTTATGAACACCTTTGTGAGTCATAGTTAACCACATTTTATTATGAATCTACATATACTAACATCCATATAAGACTATATCTTTCATCACATTTTATTGTGAGTCGTAAGTTACTCACATCCCTTCAAATCTATATAGTGACTCACATTTTCTTGTGAGTCTAAAGTTACTCACATCCCTTCAAATCTATATAGTTACTCACATTTTATTGTGAGTCTAAAGTTACTCACATCCCTTCAAATCTATATAGTGACTCACATTTTATTGTGAGTCTAAAGTTACTCACATCCCTTCAAATCTATATAGTTACTCACATTTTATTGTGAGTCTTAAGTTACTCACATCCCTTCAAATCTATATAGTGACTCACATTTTATTGTGAGTCTAAAGTTACTCACATCCCTTCAAGTCTGTTTAGTTACTCACATTTTATTGTGAGTATTAAGTTACTCATATCCCTTCAAATCTATATAGTGACTCACATTTTATTGTGAGTCTAAAGTTACTCACATCCCTTCAAATCTATATAGTGACTCACATTTTATTGTGAGTATAAAGTTACTCACATCCCTTCAAATCTATATAGTGACTCACATTTTATTGTGAGTATAAAGTTACTCACATCCCTTCAAATCTATATAGTTACTCACATTTTATTGTGAGTATAAAGTTACTCACATCCCTTCAAGTCTATATAGTTACTCACATTATATTGCGAGTCTGATGTTACATTTTTTGTGAGTCTAAAGTTACTCACATCCTTTAGAGTCTATATAGTTGCTCACATTTCATTGAGTAAAACTTTACTCACAATCTTTTAGTCTATAAAGTTAATGACAGGTCCATAATAAGGCACATTCACTTGTGAAGCTATAGTTACCAACATTATTTATTAGTCCATAATCACTAATATTATCTGTGAGTCCATACTTGGTCAATTCTCTTTGGAGTCCATATTTACAGGCACATTCTTTTATGAGCCCATAGTTACTCACATTCCTTTTTGGAGTCTATTGTTACACATACTCTTGTGAGTCAACATAGTCACATACACCTCTTTTGTGAGTCAGTGTATTCACATACAACTTAACAAGTTCATACTGGCCTACACATACTTCATGCATATAGTTACCCATACACCTTTATGAATCCATTGTTACACACAATTACGATAAAACCAACACGTCTGCCATTTCTTTTTACATATTGTTTCTCTTTCTGACTGGTAACTATCTATTTGCAAACCAATGCTCTTGGTGACCTAATGACCCTGTGAACTTTGAACTCGACCTCAAGTATTGGGTCGGGAGGAGGCACTGTGGAAGGAGAAGTTGCTGCTCTGACTGTTGTGTGATGAGGTAGAAGATAATCTTCCTCGCATGTAGGACGGCAGGCGTGTCAATTTGGTCTTAGGACATATCTCAACTATTGGTTCATTTGTCCACAGGCGCTGGAATTTTAAAACATAGTCAGTATAATTTACCATGTAAAATAAATGATAACTTTGTGTTGTAGGATAAGAACCTATCATGCTAGTTTATTTACTGTACTGCCTCAACAATTGGTGTCAAGGATTAAAATAATCATCAGATTATTATATGAAAAAAAAATAATTTGAATATCAGAGAAATGTGAAAACAAGCCATTTGAACTTTTATAAACTTCTTCCCAAAATAAAATGTGGACAAGAACATTCATATATCACAATTATCATAGAACTCATTGGAATTGTGATTTTTGAATAATTTAGTGAAATCTCAAATCAATTTTTGACAATGAGACTTGAAACAACATATTTAAATGTTACATTTTGATTAGTAAATAAAGACCTCATTGGGATCTTGTCTCCACTTCAATGCTGCTTCATCATCGCCATAGCAACCAGAGAAACTCAACAGCACTGGTGAACCATTGCAGCTGAAAAAAACCCAGTAATATACAGTGTATCATCACCATAGCAACCAGGGAAACTTAACAAGGTCTTAAAGAAAAATGAAAATTAATTTTTGACAAAAATTTACAAGGCTTTATACAGAAACTTACCTTGTCTTCAGGAAGCTCCTAACTGGTTTGTCCGCTATTTTCACCTTCATCTGCAGGCAAAGTTCTGTGGTGAAAAATACGTCAGGGGTTGTACTACACAGAGAGGCAGAACTAGCTGAGTGGCTGATAACACTCTGTACAGGTACCAAGCGCTTTCCCATTCCCACACTATCTGTGTCTTCATCACCCGGAGACGGGGTTGAGATGTTCTCATAACTTGACCAGAGCGAACTTGGCCGGCTGCTGATGCTTGGAGTTCGCAAAAAGTCTTGGACTTTCTGGTCAACCGAACTCATTGGACTTCCTGATGACTGCTTACTGCTACCATAGGAATCCCCCCAGTCTATCATCTGTCGCTTGCCCCCCAAGGACAGCTTACGACTCACCAGTGTGTGTGTTTGCATCTGGTCCAGTAAGCGAGGCTCAGACGAAGACGGACTACCACTTACTGACAGTGACCAGTTGTCCATTCTGATCAGATCTGCTTGGCTCACTTTGTTTGTGTCTATTCCTGGGAAAAATACTCCATCCAGACTGTGGCGTCTACTGTCCAGGCTTTGCAATCTAGAACTGAACTCAGTCAAGCTAATTGGTCTTCCGTCCAGACTGTTTTGTCGAGAGTTTAAATAGCTCATTTCACTGACAGACCCAGATCGGGAGTTGTGTTTGGACAAGTCAAGTTCACTGTCAGTTTCTATGTGCAGGCCAGAGAAGTCAAGGCGATATTTCACCTCAGGGTTATTGGAATTAAGATGACTGTCTTTAACTTTGTCACTGACACTGCTCACCCCTTCCGACTCGAGTGAGTCACAGCGAAACATCTGTTTCACCGAGTCAAATCCAGGACTGGGGAGCATTTTGTCACATACGTCACTAGGTCCATCCTCGAGTGACATGGCCATGTCTGAGCTGTGTGACACATCCTCATCAGCTATATAGTACACCTCCTCAGTGGAACTAGGCTTTTTCAATGAGACTTTCTCCTCGGGTGTTTTTATTAACTCTCCATCAACATTTGTCTGTTGGGTGTTATCCTCAGGTTCAAGGACTATACTCCCTGCAGATATATCCTGGTCACTGTCAGGTGTCCCCTCTAAAGAATCCTTGTCACCATCAGCTGTTCCCTCTAGAGAACACAACCATTTGTTGACTTTGTGATGGCGAGACATGGCTTTGTTAAAACTTAAGGCCTTGCCTAGGTCATTCAATGTGAGAGTGTCTTGTAAGACAGGATCCTCTTCTGCTAAAACATTCACTATCATTTCCTCGTCCGACTGACCTTTGTTTTCACCGGGATCTATATTACATGCTCCATCATCATTTCTGAATGGAATATTCTCAGATTTATTGTCATCGCTACTGGAAAGTTTAGAAATAGAAGCATGGTCACACTTTTGTTCCTTTAAATCACACTGATCAGAGTGACTGTAGTCTTGTCCATCCTGAGGGTCTGTATCTCCATTGTCTTGTATTATTGGAGCCTGCAGTTGTCCAACACCAACTTTCCTTTGTCTGATTGAACTCTCAGTCATATTCTGCTGAGGTTTGCAGTTGTTGTCAATTTCAACATTTTCATGATTGCTCTCCAAGCTTTCAGTGCTATCAAAATGTGGTTCCGATTCTGAAATTTGTGGTGAAATTGTTACTGTTGTCACTACCTCAGACGACTCTAGTTTTGTGTCATCTGTTGAGCCTGTGCCATTGGTATTACCTTCGACCTCCTTTGCCTTATTTTTTAGCGCATTTCCTTTAAGGCTGTCCTTGCGGGATCTATGTTTACAGACGGAGCTGTTTTTACGAACACTTTCATCACTGGAAGAGCGTTCCATAACAGTAAAAGGTTTGTCTATCTCTGCTGGTACCCTACTACCATCGTTACTTCCTTCTGAATGTGAGTTATCTGCCCTTCGTGCTCTCGGAGACAACATTCGTGGTGTGCTGGTACCAGTGGAACAAGCATCTGATAGGGTAGTTGTACTTACATGATTGGATGAAGAAGATTGAATAGTCACATGACCCTCATTGACCAATGGCTTTGTACGAACAGCCTGATCAGGTCCAGAAACCTTATCTTTCACTCGACATCCAGCATTCATACGTTGATCACTGGCACCACGAGAAAACTTCTTGGAATTGAATGGTGGTACTGGGTTACTACGGAAGCTGGACATGGTTTCCGTGGAGGGTGACTGATCAGTTGGGGTTTTGATGTTTGCCTGTTCTGAAACTTCATATATAATGAGATTGCCTTCACCAGTGCCCACCCAAACACACTGACCGATGTCCACCACAGCTGTAATCCTGGCTCGATTGAAATAGGTCTCGTCCTCCTGCAAAATAAGATAGCATTAGGTGTTATTCAGTTCATGAATACAAGATCACCCTGACACCTTGAACATGACAAAATGGTTTGGTCATTTACAAAACTTTTACCAGCAGAGCATACTTTATCGATAAATGGTCGTGATAAAAAGTCCAATCATTTTCATAGGAGAGTTTACCTAGTGTGGTGTGAGTTTAGTGGGAAATCTAACTTTTCTAGAAGAATGTGGGTAATGATGGAAAATCTTACCTTCCTAGGAGAGCTTCCATTACTGATGTGTGGGTAGTGAAGGGAAATGTTTCTAGAACAGCTTATCTTATTACCGTATTTCACTGCAAATAAGCCCCCCCCCCCCTTTTTCCAATTTGCCAGGAATAGGGGGGTATTCACAATTAAGCCCCCCCCCCCCCCCCCCCCCCCCTTTCTTTTTTGAAAAATACAACAACACGTGCGACGATAACGCAATACTTACATTTAATTGCCAGGTGTAATTATTGTAGTGTTCACAGGTGTCCACTTATTTTTTATTTCAAGGTGTGGGTAGTGATGGAAAATCTCACCTTTCTTGGAGAGCTTACACTACTGAGGTGTGGGTGGTAATGGAAAATTTTACCTTTCTTGGAGAGCTTACACTACTGAGGTGTGGGTAGTGATGGAAAATCTCACCTTTCTTGGAGAGCTAACACTACTGAGGTGTGGGTGGTAATGGAAAATTTTACCTTTCTTGGAGAGCTTACATTACTGAAGTGTGGATAGTGAAGGGAAATCTTACCTTTCTTGGAGAGCTTACCATACTGAGGTGTGAGTAGTGAAGGGAAATCTTACCCCCTTGGAGAGCTTACCATACTGAGGTGTGAGTAGTGAAGGGAAATCTTACCCCCTTGGAGAGCTTACCATACTGAGGTGTGAGTAGTGAAGGGAAATCTTACCTTTCTTGGAGAGCTTACCTTACTGAGGTGTGAGTAGTGAAGGGAAATCTCACCTTTCTTGGAGAGCTTACCATACTGAGGTGTGAGTAGTGAAGGGAAATCTTACCTTTCTAAGCTGTGGGTAGCGGTCTGTTCGTGTATCATACAACATCTTACAATTGAGTGTCCTGGCATCCCAGAGTTCCAAAATGGAGGAACCTCGAAGGATGATCCACACACCAAACTGTCCTTCAATCAGAGATAGGATGTGGTCGTAGGGATTGACTGACACTATAAAACTGTCCATGGTGTCCAAAGTCCTATGAAATATAATGCGATATCATGTTTAAGCATTCACATGGGTAGATTCTGCTTCTATCATGAAGGTCCATGACATATATCTTTGTATTCGGATAATGACCTCTCCCACCATGTAGGTTTATGACATATATCTGTGTATTTCTGATACTGACCTCTTCCATCATGATGGTCTATGACATTTATCTGATACTGACCTGGCATGTATGATGCTAACAGTGTTTCCACTGGCTGTCCACAACTGGTCTCCTAGCAACAGGAGACATGAGATGGGAGCTTGGCCAATAGGAATGTACATAATATCACTGTCAGGGATTGTCTTCTCCAGGTTACTTTGCTGTGGTAAAAAAAATCACAAAGAAGCCAGTGTTAAGTAATCATCAGTATTAAAAGTGAACACTAAAATTAAACTATCCTGAAGTTTGTATGATGGCAAATAGTAGACATTGCTGCAATAATGTCAAAGATCAGTAAAAATTTGATAGTGTTAAAATGTGATTTCTCGTTATCGTTTAGATTTGAATTTGTGGATAAGTTGGCTGACTGAGAGTTATATATGCAACAATCTGTTGTAAAGATGTCAATAATACATACCTCCATAACTGCCAGGGTGCCATCAGCAAGCCCTGCGAAATGTCGGGTTACTACGTTCTCTTTATCGTCATAGCAACACAGCGAAAGTATGGCATCATGGAGCTGTAGCTTCCAGAGATTTTCCCTGAAATGTCAGTTTCCCTACATCACTGTTATCTACATATTTAGCTGTAGTTCAATACTGATACATTATAGCTACTCTGTGGTGGTATTCTGGTTGTTTGAGATACTGTTGCTAAAAAGCTTTATGAGGAATAAAGTAGAACATAAACAAGTCTGGGCAGCAATATGTGTAAAGGGAAATAACTCCTTATTAATCATCAAGTTTGAAATAAGTGTAATGATAGATAACATCTGATTTATCTTAAGTGTCTATCAAATGACTGAGCAAAAACTTTTATCTAAGGGTTAATACATAAACCCCACCCCTCAACCACTTCATGCTGGCTGCTAGTTGTCTCTGAGAAAACCAGTAAAACTATTAAGGGGCCATAACTCTGGTAACAAAGTTAGATGAACTCATACTAGCAACTATGTTTGTAATGAAGCAAGATTATACATTCTGTAATATATTGCAAAATGTTTCATGAATACCTGAGCATAAACCAACATGTGTCAGTGACAGAGGAATCAAGGGCAATTTCTCTATAAATTTCATGAAACACATGTATTTATGAAATTTAAGGTCATTAATCATCACAGAGTTTTCGAGATAAACATTATACCATAATTGGATTGGGGGAGTATGAATTAAACAGTTAGTCTATTGTGTTGTTAGAATGGTACTAAATATAACTACAATCTGATGTATTGGAGTTTCTTCCTCTGATAACTGAGAGGTAAGAGGAAACAGCTTTAGAGTAATTGTTGTAGGTATACATCTAAAGGGAGATAATTACCTTGTGTTGGTATTGTAAGCATACAACATCCAGGACAGTGTGCCCAGTAACACAATGTTATTAGTAACAGGGTAAAGACACATCACTCTGGAATCAAACTGTAACAAACGTTAACATGAAATTAAACAAAAACAAGAGGTCCATGGGCTTTAATGTTCATCTGACTATAAAGACCTTTATATGAAAGAGGCAAAATAGGCCTAAAATAAATTGCTCAACTACTCTACAGCTTACATAGAAGATATCATTGGTTCATCAATACATTCTCTGCAAACTTGAAATTATATTCTTTATACATGCACTACACAATCACCGAAAAACCCGTCACATTATTAGGTACAGGGTCCTATGGTGTAGTCTGTCATATCATTAGGTACAGGATCCCATGGTGTAATCTGTCACAAAATTAGGTACAGGGTCCTATGGTGTAGTCTGTCATATCATTAGGTACAGGATCCCATGGTGTAATCTGTCACAAAATTAGGTACAGGGTCCTAGGATGTAGTCTGTCATATCATTAGGTACAGGGTCCTAGGATGTAGTCTGTCATATCATTAGGTACAGGCCCCCAGGGTGCAGTCTGTCACATTACTAGGTACAGGCCCCCAGGGTGTAGCCTGTCACATTACTAGGTACAGGCCCCCAGGGTGTAGCCTGTCACCTTACTAGGTACAGGCCCTCAGGGTGTATTCTGTCACATTACTAGGTACAGGCCCACAGGGTGTACTCCGTCACATTACTAGGTACAGGCCCCCAGGGTGTAGCCTGTCACATTACTAGGTACAGGCCCCCAGGGTGTAGCCTGTCACCTTACTAGTTACAGGCCCTCAGGGTGTCTTCTGTCACATTACTAGGTACAGGCCCACAGGGTGTACTCCGTCACATTACTAGGTACAGGCCCCCAGGGTGTAGCCTGTCACATTACTAGGTACAGGCCCCCAGGGTGTAGCCTGTCACATTACTAAGTCCTGTACATTTGTACCTACCTCCAGGTTTATGTCGTACATTAGTCCTTCCTCACATGTAATTTTTGAGACTTTTCCAACATTCTGGTCACCATAGCAAAACCAAACTTTACCTAAGAAATTCAAAAGAAAGAAACTAAGTAGTGGTAATGACACAGTTTTTAGTAATGAGGTTATAATTAGATTATTACACAGTTAAATGTTTTACTCACCATCCTCTACAGCTACAGCAGAGCCGATCCCCATGTAGTTCCCCGTCTCATTCTCCATTTTAAAGTACTACAACAGAATCACAGCCAATTACAATTGTGTCAGAGATTCTAATGGTGAATAAGTAACACTACATCCATGTCATTCCTTACAAATTAGTATGTACAAAACACACATCACATGTTCTCTTTCTGCATATACAAGGCTATAAACGACACACCAGGTGTTTTCTGTCTTGCAAACAAGACTACAAATAACGCACCAGGTGTTTTCTCTCAGTGTACCCAAGACTACAAACAACACACCAGGTGTTCTCTCACAGTGTACCCAAGACTACAAACAACACACCTGGTGTTCTCTCACAGTGTACCCAAGACTACAAACAACACACCAGGTGTTCTCTCATAGTGTATCCAAGACTACAAACAACACACCAGGTGTTCTCTCACAGTGTACCCAAGACTACAAACAACACACCAGGTGCTCTCTCACAGTGTACCCAAGACTACAAACAACACACCTGGTGTTCTCTCACAGTGTACCCAAGACTACAAACAACATACCAAGTGTTCTCTTTCAGTGTACCCAAGACTACAAACAACATACCAGGTGTTCTCTCTCAGTGTACCCAAGACTACAAACAACATACCAAGTGTTCTCTTTCAGTGTACCCAAGACGACAAACAACATACCAGGTGTTCTCTCACAGTGTACCCAAGACTACAAACAACATACCAAGTGTTCTCTTTCAGTGTACCCAAGACTACAAACAACACACCTGGTGTTCTCTCACAGTGTACCCAAGACTACAAACAACATACCAGGTGTTCTCTCACAGTGTACCCAAGACTACAAACAACATACCAGGTGTTCTCTCTCAGTGTACCCAAGACTACAAACAACATACCAGGTGTTCTCTCTCAGTGTACCCAAGACTACAAACAACATACCAGGTGTTCTCTCTCAGTGTACCCAAGACGACAAACAACATACCAGGTGTTCTCTTTCAGTGTACCCAAGACGACAAACAACATACCAGGTGTTCTCTTTCAGTGTACCCAAGACGACAAACAACATACCAGGTGTTCTCTTTCAGTGTATGCAAGTCGCTGAAGTTCCTTTTGTTTGTTCTTATCTTTCAGCGTCTTGAGGTAACATGCCTGCTTTGTGGCCATGTCTTGTCGTCTTGGGAACCCCTTGATGTCCTCAAAGGCAACCTGTCACAGTGATATTCCAAATATGATTCAGATGAAATATGTGATAACATCAGGCAATTAGATAATATGAAATAATGTTAGGTCATTAAATAGTATGTTATAATGTTAGGTCATTAAATAGTATGTTATAATGTTAGGTCATTAAATAGTATGTTATAATGTCAGACAATTAAATAGTATGTTATAATGTCAGACAATTGAATAATATGTTATAATGTCAGGCCATTAAACAGTATGTTTTAACGTCAGACAATTAAATATGTTATAATGTCAGGCAATTAAACAGTTATAATGTTAGGCAATTAAACAGTATGTTATAATGTCAGACCATTAAACAGTATATTATAATGTCAGACCATTAAACAGTATATTATAATGTCAGGCCATTATAATATGCAAAAGAAATTAGTGACCTGCTTCTTGACTCAGCAATCAAAGGAAAATTGTGGAAAGAAATTGCAATGTTCACATGCACACTGACACCACCTGAAGGGTCTGTATTTTATTTACAAGCTGATGACGATGTCAAGTTTCAAAGCTCAGTAGAAATACAAAAAATTAGCAATACCTTTTTTGTACCTGCAATTAACAAGATCTGGTGACATCAAAGGTATTTTCACAAAGTTACGATATATATATGTCATTACAAAAATAAATCAGACAGAGGTAAACACACCCTCCCACCTTATTTTACCTACAACAAGAGCTGATTGAGAACACCATATAACTTGTCTCGTAATGATATATTTTAAGTCAATACAAATTTACCCCTTATGGGCCCCACATGAAAACATGGTTCAGCATATTGAAAGTGATTCATGTCAGCCTCTTAACATTTGTGATCCAGTACTGCTTGAAAAAACCTCAAATAGGTGAGCTAAAAATGAATGTCAGCCAAAATTGTATTCATTTTTAACCTAAAAGGGCACAACTCCATTAAAAAGGGCCAAAATGCAAAATCACTTCAAGGGGCACAACTCCATATGTACTGTCACTTCATATGAAGTTTGAAATAAAATCCACGTAAAACTTAGCAAATGCATGGCTGACAAAATTTGTTTTGGTCAACAGGACAGACCGACAGACAAGCTGATTCCAGTATACCCCATCTAACTTTGGTGTGGGGTGTATATAATGTCTCTATTGGTTGCATAAAATCATTCCTACAGGAGGAGTAAGATTTTAAAGAATGTGCTCCATTTCCCCTATTTGGTCCCAAGCTTCCTGTTCCAGGGACCTATATCTATATAATATTGATTCCTCTGCACCCAAGAATACTTCAGACCTGATTCACACAATATCCTTCATTCCTGCAGGAGGAGTAGCGCTTTAAAAAACTTGCAATTTCTTTCCATAATTATTGTTTTGAATGCTGACCAAAGTAAAGGTCACTTATTTGCCTCAAATTTTATAGTGCTGGAGTTCTGATGTTCATAGACTCTACACCGATGTAAGTTGATGAAGGACAGAAAACTTCAGACAGTCAAAATATTAAATAAAGTCAGACTATTAAAAGGGTGCAGTGGTTTGTTATCACCGAGTTACCATAACCACTTGTAGAGAAGATACCTGCTGTTGTAGTAAGGTAACTCTTACCTTGATGAGACTGTCAGCATCAAAGGTAAGCTTGGCACAGGCCTTCAGATATCTCATTATGCTGATAGTGTCAGTCTTCTGTAGGATTTCTTTCTCATTGATCTTGAGAATGGCCAGTGTGAAACGGAAAAGAACCTTTGGGCCCTCCAACAGGAAACAATCCCAGATCCGTAACAAGGTCTAACAAATATAGAAAAAAGCAATATTAACATATGTCAATATATATATATGCATTTTACACCTGTAAACCTGTACACAAACATACACCACACACCTCTACACACTTATATACCTGTACAAATATATATACAATACACCTGTACACATCTATATACCATAGACTTGTACACACCTATGTAAAATACACCTGTACACACCTATATACAATACACCTGTACACATCTATTTACCATACATGTACATATTTATATCGCAACACTTACACACCTGTATACAAAAGACCTGTAAACATCTATATACTACACATCTGTTTACAACATCTGTACACATCTATATATTATACAGTTGCTGACATCTATATATACAGTGCCATACACCTGTACACACCTATATATTATATACATGTATACACCTATTTACCTTACACCTATAAACTACACCTGTAAAAGCTGATTAGTACATACACATGTTAACCATATTTATAGTAAAAAAATATATACAACAAAGCAGGATTGTGTAATGCCAGTGTCAGCTCTGTGGGAATCCTTCAGTCTAACACAAGTCAGCTGGCAATGTTATGTCATCTGTAATCTCTCAAGTTCCACAATGTGGAAAGTAGTATGTAACAGATCAACAACACCTGACAGAAACAATATTTCCTCATTCAAACACATACTGTAATACCACAATGCCTTACAACAGCCAGTTACCCCCATATGGGCCTCCCTTTTAAAAGTAAAACTAGGCTGTTCTATTTTTGGTTTCCCCTTGCAGCAGGAGTGAGCTGGTCCAACTTTAACTCCACAGCAGCTGGCTGTGGTATCACACAGCCCACACACGCCAGGAGGCCACACACTCTCTTTTCTTCAATTGGTCACCTTGTTGTCACTGACCACTAGACCACAAGGTGGACCTTCATGATGACCACTGCACACCAGGCAGTGACCACTTAGAACTTATTGAGATTTAGATGGTGACATTATGCTGTACTTTTAGGAACACTATGACTGTGAGATGTTGTGTGCTGGAGGTGGTATTGGGGGTGTGCTTTTTCACCTCATCCCTACATGCTGTCACCAGTGAGCTGCCTGACCCTATAAACCCCATCCCTGACCCCAGGGATAACACAGGTAGACCTACATGGGACCCAGGGACAGTCTCTACCCTCAGGCCCACTCAAGACCCATGGCCTGTTCCAACCCACCAGTTAACCCGGGACTCAGGGTCGGTCTCCACCCACCAGCCAAAGGAGGTATCTGTCCATAGTCATCCTGAATTCATCAAATTATCATCAAAGACAGACTTTTTGATGAGGAAATTAAGACAACTAGAGAAAGACCGCGATTCTGACAGGTGAGTCACTACCCTATATCTCATCTTTAGCATGAGGACAAATTATGTTATCTGGTTCTGTTCTTGCCAGCAATGCCCACTGTGCCATCTCTTACTCACTCATTGTTCTAACATTGAGAATATTCTGTCTGTGACCATGCTACACTGTTACATTATTGTATGCAATCTGGACTAAATTTCACTATCTGGTAAAACTAATCTGAATTGTCTTTATATACCACACAGGCAGTCACCCTGATCTGCCCCTAGATCCTTACAAATACAAAGGCAGTGTGTGTGTGTGACATAATGGCTAGATTGTGTTCCTGTGGTAAGACTCACACCAAGTCTGAAATCAATAGGACCTTTTTAATTGCAAATTCTGACAAAGGAATTAATTAGACTTCATGCTTCAGAAAAAGGGGAGGGGGTCTACACATGTAGAGAAGTCACAACAGGAGACATTGAGCCTGCCTGATCTCACCAAGACATACTTTTCTGTAACAATTGCTAAAACATTAAATAAGAATTTTCTCACTAGAATATTATTTGCAACTATATCTGACTGAGGGCTTACATCTATTATATTTCCCTTGCTATATCTGACTCAGAGTAAGATATTTGTTGTATGACCTAGTTACACTCTATTACACCTGTATGACCTAGTTACACTCTATTACATCTGTATGACCTAGTTACACTTTATTACACCTATCTGACCTAGTTACACTGAATAAAACCTGTATTATTTAGCTACACTGTATTACACCTATATGACTGAGTTACACTGTAGACCTGGATAAATTGAACAACATTTGTATGACCTAGTTAAACTGTATTATACATGTATGACCTAGTTACACATAATGACATCTGTATGACCTAGTTTCACTATATCACACCTACATGACCTGATTACACTGGTATTACCTACAATATTTAACAACTGTTTGATCCTATTGATGTTTGTTTTCTACCACAGAGATAAGATGAAGGTACTTGAACGTCGCAGTATAGAGAACAATGATGATGCTATCAGAGCATTGGCCTCCAGTATGGAGCTTCAACACCATGTCTCTGAGATACAAGATCGCCTCACACAGCTTGAGGAAAATGTGGACAATTACCGCCTCAACATGAACAATATGCGCTTCGAACAGGAACAGATAAAAATGGAGCTAGATACGTACAGAAAACTGAAGGATAGCACTAGGCGGTCTTTCCGTAAGCTTGATCGACAATTTGGTAAATACTCTCTGCGATTTGAAAATCTTGAGAATGATATAAAAAATGTTTCTTCAAGTGTGGACATTGTATTAGAAATGTTTGAGGGAAAGATGAATGATAACCTAGCCAAGGTACAAAGTCTTGAACAGCTTATAGAAAACCGAACAAAACCATTCTTCGAAGAAAACTTTCGTCATATTAAATCACGGATGAATAGATTGGAGAATAATATTACCTTTCCAAGATCAACAATACAATTAGTGTCAAATGATGAAGGATCTGGTGACATAGAAACAGACTACATTCTAACTCCATTAGAGGAGAGTTCTAACCGCATTGAAACAGGAAGCGGGGAAGAGATTTTAAAGGAAATCCCGTTGGGAATCCTACCTCATGGCCATCCACAATACCTCAACACTGAAGATTTTATACTTGAGATTCAAGACCGTGATGAAGAGATATCAGACCTTCAGAAGATGGTTAATGAGCTGAAGGCAAGTCTGTCCAGTGTGCAGACAAGACTCACCTCAATCCAATTGGGAGATTTTATGGGAAAGTTGCAGGAATCACTGCTGAACTTCACCCAAAATGTCATCACCCTTGACCAGTGGAAGATGGCGAGTACAGACATCGTCAACTCTACACAGATAAACCAGCATCAGATCAACTCACTCACCAACATGATACTCAACAACACCAACCATGTGCGAGATGTCGAGTGGAAGGTTGCAGACGTTCAGTCGCTTGGATACCAACAATTCAATTTGCTGCGAATGTATGTCATTCAGCTCAACAATTCAGTACAAGACATGAAGGAAACCATGTCAAACCTGCGCAAAACCCAACAACAACAAGTTAAAGTGAATAGTGAACTGCCAAGGCAGACTATTGATAATGTATTGCATCCCGACTTGGAACATTTAGACACGTTAAAATCTCGTGTCGAGGATCTCTCACTTCAGATCATTTATAACGAAAACAGGATATCTAAACTGGAGATCCAGGTTTTGAACGAGTCATTATATGAGTGTAGAAAATACAACACAGATAATGATCAGGATGCAAAGATAACGCAGGTCAAACAGGAAGTATCCAAACTTATTGAGACTGAGGTCATGGTCAAGGAAATGCTTAAGAGACTTGACCGTGGCCTGTTCCGTGTCCACCTAACCAACAACAACCAATCAGATGTCATTAAAGACATCGTTCGGGAAATACAACATCTCAGCAGCAACGTTACTGTTGTAAACGAGCTTGAACAGGAAGTGGACCACGTCAAGTTCATGTTACCCAGAGGTAAGGTCAAGGTTGTTACCATCTCTAGGGATTAATTATAATACATCTTTTGGAATGGTTATGATACACAATGCAATTCTATGATTCTGTTTCTCAACAGATGTTTATTTCACTTTTTTGGGTGTGTGTCTGACTATTACAATTGTTTCCTATATGTATACGTTCAGAGTTATGAATTGTTTGCCATATGTAAATGTGACTGTTACTATTTGTTTCTATATTTATCTGTGACTGTTACTAATTGTTCTCCATAAGTATCTGAGATTGTTACTAATTGTTTCTCAATGTATATGTGACTGTTACTAATTGTTAGTCAAAAGTATCTGTGACTGTTACTAATTGTTTCTCAATGTATCTGTGACTGTTAATAATTGTTCTCCATAAGTATCTGAGATTGTTACTAATTGTTTCTCAATGTATATGTGACTGTTACTAATTGTTAGTCAAAAGTATCTGTGACTGTTACTTATTGTTTCTATATGTATCTGTGACTGTTACTAATTGTTCTCCATAAGTATCTGAGATTGTTACTAATTGTTTCTCAATGTATTTGTGATTGTTACTCATTGTTACCCATATGTATACATGACAATCATCTGTTTTCACCCACCTGTCTTTGTAGTGTAAACATTTTTGATGTAGAACACCCATTTGCGATAACTCTGTCTGTTATGAGTACACTCAGCGAATATTAAGAACTCACAATGAGATGACGACATTACATTATCACCTCATATCAAAAGCCTGTCAAGACATTGCTTGCCTGCTCATGACAATCCTGCCATAAAAGAAATTATTTCAATAATTATTTCTGAAGAGATATTGTGGAGTTCTTCAAATTTGAATCTCACTTTTAGTATATGGCAACTTTTGTCTGTTCTTCCCATGTATGGCTTACAATTTCCAGTCATGCTTGTGACTTTGAAATTTGCTTTCAGTTCTGTGCTTGCATTGTATGAAACGTAAAATAGTCATCCATATGTAAGTATGTGAAATTATGGAAATCCTACCCTCAGGTACAAAATTTAGGTTTAGAACTTTGTAAAAACCATATCCTATTTACCTACATATATAGCTGATGGTGTTATAATATGTTTGTGTTATTATAGATTGTGAGGATTACTATAAGCGTGGTTATCGTCTGTCTGGATTGTATGTGATCCATCCTATCAATGCCTCACGCTCAATCAAAGTCAGCTGTGATATGGAGGATCGGTCTGGTGGTTGGACAGTGATACAGCGTCGGTTCGATGGGAGTGAAGAGTTTGCTCGAGGTTGGGAGGATTACAAAGTCGGCTTCGGCTCCACTGAAAGTGAGTTCTGGCTCGGCAATGACCTAATTCACTCACTCACCTATCACAAAAATCTATCGCTCAAGATAGATATGGTGGATGTGGATGATGTTTACTGGACTGTCACCTACTCGCACTTCAGCATTGGTAACGAGGACAGTAAATATAAGCTGTATGTGGATGGTTACCAAGGTAACGCTACAGACTCCCTTGAGTACTCGGATGAGATGGGGTTTAGTACTCCAAACCAGGATAACGACGGCAGTAGTACTAATTGTGCCATGTACTACACGGCTGGCTGGTGGTACAAACACTGCCACTTCAGTAACCTTAATGGACGTTACGACCTTGGTATGGTCTGGTATAACTACGACAAGGGCGAGTGGATTCAACTCAAACGCGCCAGCATGAAGGTCAAAGAATTTGTTGTATGACAGCACCAGTCACAGATTTGTGTGACAATGAATTGTATAGTTTAAATTACACTGCATGTATGTAGGCATCACCACAACAGACATCATTGGGAGTCAGAGTAAACATCACTGTGTCACAGTAAACATCAAGTAAGTAGACATCACTGTGTTTCAAAGTGGACATCATTGGGAGTCAGAGTAAACATCATTGTGTGTCACAGTTAACATCACTGTGTGTAAAAGTAAACATCACTGTGTCACAGTAAACATCAAGTAAGTAGACATCACTGTGTTTCAAAGTGGACATCATTGGGAGTCAGAATAAACATCATTGTGTGTCACAGTTAAAATCACTGTGTGTAAAAGTAAACATCACTGTGTCACAGTAAACATCAAGTAAGTAGACATCACTGTGTGTCAAAGCAGATATCACTATGTGTCAGTGTAAATATCACTGTATGTCAAGTAGGCATCATTGTGTGTCAAAGTTGACATCAATGTGTTAGAGTAAACATCAATGAGTGTCACAGTTAACATCATCATATGTCATAGTGGGCAGCATCATGCATCAGTTTACACATTAATTGTCTTGATCAAAATGTTCAAACGAATTAAATGGAATACCCATATCATCAATGTGTTGTCAACTGTTCAGGTGTGTACCAGTAAAACTAATAGGTAAAGATTCATAATCAATATGTATCACATCACGATGATCGTCTCACTTATCAAGTTGTCAACAGCATTCCAGAATCATGATCATTAAGTTTGACTTGTTGTCATGGTAACCATGATATCCATATAACCTTAAAGAATATGGTAATGTCTATTCATTGTGAGTATAGTCTATAATTCTCCTTTCGAACTATTGGGGTAGATGAAATTTTGATCATGTTATCATGGTTGTTACTGAATGAGAGCAGTAACCATGGAAACCAAGGTATGAAGGTCATGTTAACTTAAACACTTGTTGACCCTTGTAACTATTGTAGGAGAAAATATATCAACTAATTTTGAAGACATAACTACCATGATTATAGTAAGAGAGATGTAAGTAACTTAGGTAGGAAAATTGCAACCTTAGTAACTTAGCTATATATTGATTACCATGGTAACTTTGGTACAAGAGATGTTACCATGGTAATTTTGAAGACATAACTACCATAATTATAGTAAGAGAGATGTAAGCATAGTAACTTAGGTAGGAAAATTCCAACCTTAGTAACTTAGCTATGTATTGATTACCATGGTAACTTTCGTTACAAGATATGTAACCATAGTAACCAAGGTAAGAAAGATGTAACCATGGTAACTTAAGGTAAGACAAATGAAATCATGGTAAGATCATGATAAATCAACTTGTATTGACTCTAACCATATCTTGATTTTATTCCACCCCCAACAGAAACTTTCCTCTTCACATGTACATCACAGGCACCAAATAACTAAGACCAGGACAGTGATTTGTGAAATTATAAGACATACTTTTAGGTAGCATGTGTTGTAATTCAATGTGGATAAAAAAATGCCCAACAAAAAACCAACAAATTGCATATGTAATCTACCTTAAACAGCTGGGTCCTAAAACTTAAAACCACAGAATGGGCTGCAAATCTACTCACATGTTGATTAGTTCAGAAATATACTGACCTACAATGCATCCTTTCAAGCTTTCATGTGGAAATTAAACATGCTAGATAGTGCAAATAAACTTTTAACATATGCAAAATGATGTGAAATGCATGTTGCCAAAAAATTGTTGAAACATTCAGAATAACAGCACATCTGATTTCTTGTTCATCTGGTCTCAGGTTTGAGGCTTCCCACTTTGGTGTGAAACTTTCACATATTGACAAAGTCTATCTGTTTATGATATTGCATGTATATAAAACAAGAGATCTTGGTGCCCACCGTTGTTTGATCTTCATTTATTCTTTAAAACTTTCATCTTTTCCTTTTTTTGTTTTCTCTCCCTCCTCTGCTTTTGCTCCAATCCTATTTATATTTACAAATGAAGCCCTGCCTCCTTTTCATTTTTGCAGGCTCGGTAATTTTAGAGTTGTAGGTTGAAAGTAGCTCACAAGTAAGTCCTTTCCAAACTTTAATACTAATCTTTTACACTAGGGAGTGGGCTTATCTGAGGATAAATCTGTTTATGATATGTAATTTGAAAAATTACCAGTAAGAAATAGGGATTATAAACTTTAACTGGTCTCCTATCGGCCATTTTTCTTTTCTGGTAAGTTCCAAAATAAAAAAGTTTACAATTTAAGGAAGCAAGGGTAACCTACAGCATGGATGAAATATGAGGAAGATCCATCCAGTGTATATCAAGAAACATCAATAAAAAACTTTCAATGTTGCAACTCCATGATACACTATATCACCTATTAGCCATTGTAATTGTTTTGATCAGTCTCAAAATCAAAAGGGCACTACTAGGGATCAACGGGAACCTAAATGTGAATTTTGAGAAAAATTAATCAAGTCCTTCTTAAGAAATAGTGATAGCCATCTATAGCAGTCAAAATCAGTGATGGCCACCTGTTTGTCACCGTCTTTTAAAATCAATCCCAAAATGCACAGCTAGAGATCAAGAAAAACTTACATATGTAATTTAAAGAAATATCTAGCAAATACTTCTCCAAAAACAGTAATAACAACTATCTAAGGACAGACAGATGATGAAAAGTGGACAATTTGAATAACCCATCATCCGAAGATGGTGGGCTCAAAATTTGTATTCAATTATATTTGAATGTTTATGAAATTTCCTGTAAAATGTTGTGTAAACCACTTAAATGCTGTCATGAAACAAGCAGTTGAAGAGGATACACCAAATACTTGTGTAAATATTTGCATCTTATTGGTCGAAATTGCACTCATATTTTATGTTACGGGGGTTTTATGTTTGAAAAAGGATTTAAATTAGAATGGTGTTATGTTTGAACGGTGTTATGGTAGAGAGGATTTTTGTTAGAGGGGTTACATGTTAGAAGAGTTTTATTTCTGAGAGATGCTATGGTAGAGGAATATAATATTTGAGAGATTTTATTTTCGATGGGTTTTCTGTTAGAGAGGTTTTTGTTACAGAGATGTTATGCTTGAGAAGTGTAAGGTTAGAGGGGTGTCTGACCTCTCTACATTAGAAAGATCCATTTTTTAATTACATGCTTCATGTAAGAAAAGTTTGATGCTAGAATCTAACATAAATGAAAAAGGATGTAGTCCTTACATTAGTATGACAATTATATATTCAGCATTGTGAGACATTTACTACATTAGAGAGGTAATACTACATTCAGCATTGTGAGACATTTACTACATTAGAGAGGTAATACTACATTCAGCATAGTGAGACATTTACTACATTGGAGAGGTAATACTACATTCAGCATAGTGAGACATTTACTACATTAGAGAGGTAATACTACATTCAGCATAGTGAGACATTTACCACTATAGAGAGGTTATACTACATACAGCACTGTGAGACATTTACTACATTAGAGAGGTAATACTACATACAGCACTGTGAAACATTTGCTACTATAGAGAGGTTATACTACATACAGCAGTGTGAGACATTTACCACTATAGAGAGGTTATACTACATTCAGCACTGTGAGACATTTACCACTATAGAGAGGTTATACTACATACAGCAGTGTGAGACATTTACCACTATAGAGAGGTTATACTACATTCAGCACTGTGAGACATTTACCACTATAGAGAGGTTATACTACATACAGCAGTGTGAGACATTTACCACTATAGAGAGGTTATACTACATTCAGCACTGTGAGACATTTACCACTATAGAGAGGTTATACTACATTCAGCACTGTGAGACATTTACCACTATAGAGAGGTTATACTACATTCAGCACTGTGAGACATTTACCACTATAGAGAGGTTATACTACATACAGCACTGTGAGACATTTACCACTATAGAGAGGTTATACTACATTCAGCACTGTGAGACATTTACCACTATAGAGAGGTTATACTACATTCAGCACTGTGAGACATTTACCACTATAGAGAGGTTATACTACATTCAGCACTGTGAGACATTTACCACTATAGAGAGGTTATACTACATTCAGCACTGTGAGACATTTACCACTATAGAGAGGTTATACTACATTCAGCACTGTGAGACATTTACCACTATAGAGAGGTTATACTACATTCAGCACTGTGAGACATTTACCACTATAGAGAGGTTATACTACATTCAGCACTGTGAGACATTTACCACTATAGAGAGGTTATATTACATTCAACACTGTGGGACATTTACCACTATAGAGAGGTTATACTACATTCAGCACTGTGGGACATTTACTACATTACAGAGGTACATGTAATACCATTTCACCACTGTGAGACATTTACTCTATTTGCATGTGGAGGGTCCATTAACGTCAATTCCACGTAATAAATTTACAATTAACGTTTGATTTGTAATCAAAGAGAGTAGAGATCATGTTACATTGGCCCCTTCTACTAATCAGAAACACGTCAGCTGGTAAAAAGGTCAATGTTCTGGTATGCAGATACATACTGGGTTAACACTCACCTCAAAACTCCAGGCCAACATACACACTGGGGAAACACTCAACTCAAAACTCTAGGCCAACATACACACTGGGGAAACACTCAACTCAAAACTCTAGGCCAACATACACACTGTGGAAACACTCAACTCAAAACTCTAGGCCAACATACACACTGGGGAAACACTCAACTCAAAACTCTAGGCCAACATACACACTGTGGAAACACTCAACTCAAACTCCAGGCCAACATAAACACTGGGGAAACACTCAACTCAAAACTCTAGGTCAACATACACACTGGGGAAACACTCCACTCAAAACTCCAGCCCAACATACACACTGGGGAAACACTCCACTCAAAACTCCAGCCCAACATACACACTGTGGAAACACTCAACCCAAAACTCTAGGCCAACATACACACTGGGGAAACACTCAACTCAAAACTCTAGGCCAACATACACACTGGGGAAACACTCAACTCAAAACTCTAGGCCAACATACACACTGGGGAAACACTCAACTCAAAACTCTAGATCAACATACACACTGGGGAAACACTCAACTCAAAACTCCAGCCCAACATACAAACTGTGGAAACACTCAACCCAAAACTCCAGCCCAACATACACACCTTGAAAGAAATCCAACTCAAATTCCAGCCTAACATATGTGACCAGGAAAATGCTCAACTCAGACTCCAGCCCAATGCATAAAATGTCTAAATGTTAACATTTAACTCAATGGGACAATCATTCAGCTTAACACTGTTAAACATCTTTTATGTTGGGTAACTATATCGGCTTTACTGACTGCAGTTGAGATTTAATCCCACTGAAACATGTATTTGGTGTTGGTACTCACTGCTAAGTACATAAAAGTGTATTAGAAGTGAAATAGCCAGTCTCCCCCTCCCTTGGGGCTGGGCCGAGTAATTTCGTAGGATCACTATCAGCACTTTAAAGTGTCTGTGTTACACCAACTATACCCAGTAGCTTTCAAACATATTTAGTCAATTAGGCATACCATCAAGAGATTTCTGGGAGATGTCAGTATTGACCTACAAGGTATCAAACCTTTTCGCTAGAACATCAGCGACTGTAGTATTTAAACCTGGGTCATCATAGAGAGGATGTTAGATATATATATCAAATTTACACCTGTTATTATATATAACAACTCTTCAAAGTTACACTTGGTATCATATATAACAAAACTCATCAAAGTTACACCTGTTATCTTATAAAACAACCATACTCATCAAAGTTACACCTGTTATCATATATAACAACCATACTCATCAAAGTTACACCTGTTATCATATATAACAACCATACTCATCAAAGTTACACCTGTTATCATATATAACAACCATACTCATCAAAGTTACACCTGTTATCATATATAACAACCATACTCATCAAAGTTATACCTGTTATCATATATAACAACCATACTCATCAAAGTTATACTTGTTATTATATATAACAACTCATCAAAGTTATACCTGTCATCATATGTAACAACTCATCAAAGTTACACCTGTTATCATATATAACAACCATACTCATCAAAGTTACACCTGTTATCATATATAACAACCATACTCATCAAAGTTACACCTGTTATCATATATAACCATACTCATCAAAGTTACACCTGTTATCATATATAACAACCATACTCATCAAAGTTACACCTGCTATCATATATAACAACCATACTCATCAAAGTTATACCTGTTATATATAACAACTCATCATAGTTACACCCGTTATCTTATATAACAACCAAACTTATCAAATTACACCTGTTATCATATATAACAACCATACTCATCAAAGTTACACCTGTTATCATATATAACAACTCATCATAGTTACACTTGTTATCTTATATAACAACCAAACTTATCAAATTACACCTGTTATCATATATAACAACCATACTCATCAAAGTTATACCTGTTATCCTATATAACAACTCATCACAGTTATACCTGTCATCATATCTAACAACTCATCAAAGTTACACTTGTTAATAATGGGTTTTATTGTCCCCCATTGAAACATTACTTCAACAAGGTGAACCCATACCAAAAGTGTAAAATTCCATTGTCAAGTACTGCAGGAGATAGAGTCCAGAGAAGGAGGTAAAAAGGATAGATGGACAGAAGGACAGATAGACACAATACAAAAAACTATAGTTCCCCACCTAGTGGGTGACTAACAACTACACTGATTGGTTTATGTAGATGAATCCACTGTGTAGCACTCTATTGATAGACCTTTCCCCATAGAGGTCATTCAGTGCCCCAAAACAATTAATCAGAAACACAAGCTATGGACTAACTGATACATTATCATTGTTTCTAAATCGAAACACTTTGAACCCACACAACTTCTTCACTAATATCATGCACATACAAGCACAAACGATACGCCATAGTTTACTGATAACATGTCGTAAAGACTAATCATCAAAGATGTGTGGTATCACACTCCCTAATATTACCCGGTCACTGACCACAAACCTACCGTTAAATACTGTCATTAGTAACACCAAAACCTTTATCAGATAAAAATAGCAGTGTTAACCATAATTTTCATTTTTTTTAATTTAAATTTCTGTCTGTCCTCATACCCTGGTCTGAAAGACAAAGTCTACCTGGAAAGGTACAGCATCAAAGAAGATAGCCAGGAACCAGTTAAGTGTGACTGTAGAGATCTCGATGTCGATGTTGTCAAGGTGACGATTCAGGTCAGGAAGTTTCTCTGCTAGGATGTCCTTAAAGACATGTTGGTCAGACTGGGCACCGATCAAGTTGTGGTCAAAGTAATGTTTTTGGAAAAACCGTTCTGTGAAAGCCACCAGCATCCTGTATAAAAAGAAACCAAGTGCTGATACAACAATCATCCCTGTAAGAGACCTACTTCATATATCAATTTGCATATCAAAAAAAACTTCCTTCTTGTGTACCTAAACCATTGAACTTCCTACCTGTGTACCTAAACCATAGAACTTCCTACCTGTGTACCTAAACCATAGAACTTCCTACCTGTGCACCAAAACAATAAAACTACCTACTTGTGTACCTAAATCACAGAACTTTCTACTTATTTACCTACACCTTAGAAGTACTTACCTGTGTGTAAGAACTACCTTCTTGTGTACCTAAACCATAGGAATTCCTACTTGTGTACTGAGATTACAAACAACCTACCTGTGTTTCTGCACCATAGTACTTATTTACCTAAACCATCGAACTACCTGCTTGTGTACCTAAACCATAGGACATCATACTTGTATACTCTGACCAGACAACTACCTATATCAGTCCTATATAAGTTCTATATCAGTTCTATATCAGCCCTATATCAGTCATACATCAGTCCTACATCAGCCCTACATAAGTTCTATATCAGTCCTATATCAGTTCTATATCAGCCCTAAATCAGCCCTATATCAGCCCTATATCAGTCCTATATCAGCCCTATATCAGTTCTATATCAGCCCTATATCAGTTCTATATCAGCCCTATATCAGTTCTATATCAGTCCTATATCAGTTCTATATCAGTCCTATATCAGCCCTATATCAGCCCTATATCAGTCCTATATCAGTCCTATATCAGCCCTAAATCAGCCCTATATCAGCCCTTTATCAGCCCTAAATCAGCCCTATATCAGCCTATATTGGCCTTTATCAGCCCTATTTCAGTCCTTTATCAGTCCTATATCAGCCCTATATCAGCCCTATATCAGTCCTATATCAGCCCTATATCAGCCCTATATCAGCCCTATATCAGTCCTATATCAGCCCTATATCAGCCCTAAATCAGCCCTATATCAGCCCTATATCAGTCCTATATCAGTCCTTTATCAGTCCTATATCAGCCCTAAATCAGCCCTTTATCAGCCCTATATCAGTCCTATATCAGTTCTATATCAGCCCTATATCAGCCCTATATCAGCCCTATATCAGTCATATATCAGCCCTATATCAGTCCTATATCAGCCCTATATCAGTCCTATATCAGCCCCTATATCATTCCTATATCAGTTCTATATCAGCCCCTATATCAGTCCTATATCAGCCCTATATCAGCCCTAAATCAGCCCTATATCAGTCCTATATCAGCCCCTATATCAGCCCTATATCAGCCCTAAATCAGTCCTATATCAGTCCTATATCAGCCCTATATCAGCCCTATATCAGTCCTATATCAGCCCTATATCAGTCCTATATCAGCCCTATATCAGTCCTATATCAGTCCTATATCAGCCCTAAATCAGCCCTATATCAGTCCTAAATCAGCCCTATATCAGCCCTATATCAGCCCTATATCAGCCCTATATCAGTTCTATATCAGCCCTATATCAGTTCTATATCAGCCCTATATCAGTCCTATATCAGTCCTATATCAGCCCTATATCAGTTGGGTCTAGTCTTTTCTCCTTTATTTGTTCCAAATTATCCATATTTCAGGCCTACATCAGTCTATGTCCCTAGTACAGAAGCTAGTGAGAAGGACTACTGACCAGAAGGCATCCTGGGCATCCATGAAGAGAAGTGCCATGCCAACAATGAAGTTCATGCCCTGGCAATAACCAACAGTAGGATTGTGTACACAGAATGCCAGCAGCACATCCTGTAGGTCCATTATCTGTAAATAGATATTGTGCATTCTAGAAAATTACAGTACATTTATTCTTCTTAAACTCTCACTAATCATTTATAAGTATTACTCTGATAAAATTGACCTGATCTACCCCTTCAGTCAACATAAACCTGACCTACCCCTTCAGTCAACATAAACCTGACCTACCCCTTCAGTCAACATAAACCTGATCTACCCCTTCAGTCAACATAAACCTGATCTACCCCTTCAGTCAACATAAACCTGACCTACCCCTTTAGACAACATAAACCTGACCTACCCCTTTAGACAACATAAACCTGACCTACCCCTTCAGTCAACATAAACCTGACCTACCCCTTCAGTCAACATAAACCTGACCTACCCCTTTAGACAACATAAACCTGACCACCCCTTTTGATAACTTTGGCCAGACCTATGCCTTTCGACAACATTGCTATGTTCAATATCTTTCAACAACATTACCCTTACCAATCCCTTTTGACAAAATCACCCTGGCCTATCCCTTTTGACAATATCACTCCAGCTTATCCCTTTTGACAATATCACTCCAGCCTATCCCTTTTGACAACATCCCCCTGGCCTATCCCTTTTGACAATATCACTCCAGCTTATCCCTTTTGACAACATCACTCCAGCCTATCCCTTTTGACAACATCCCCCTGGCCTATCCCTTTTGACAATATCACTCCAGCTTATCCCTTTTGACATCATCCCCCTGGCCTATCCCTTTTGACAATATCACTCCAGCCTATCACTTTTGACAATATCACTCCAGCCTATCCCTTTTGACAATATCACTCCAGCCTATCCCTTTTGACAATATCACTCCGGCCTATCCCTTTTTACAATATCACCCTGGCCTATCCTTTTTGACATCATCCCCCTGGCCTATCCCTTTTGACAACATCCCCCTGGCCTATCCTTTTTGATAACATCACCCTGGCCTATCCTTTTTGATAACATCACCCTGGCCTATCCCTTTTGGCAATATCACTCCAGCCTATCCCTTTTGACAATATCACTCCAGCCTATCCCTTTTGACAATATCACTCCGGCCTATCCCTTTTTACAATATCACCCTGGCCTATCCTTTTTGACATCATCCCCCTGGCCTATCCCTTTTGACAACATCCCCCTGGCCTATCCTTTTTGATAACATCACCCTGGCCTATCCTTTTTGATAACATCACCCTGGCCTATCCCTTTTGGCAATATCACTCCAGCCTATCCCTTTTTACAATATCACCCTGGCCTATCCTTTTTGACATCATCCCCCTGGCCTATCCCTTTTGACAACATCCTCCTAGCTTATCCTTTTTGACAACATCACCCTGGCCTATCCCTTTTGACAACATCCCCCTGGCCTATCCCTTTTGGCAATATCACTCCAGCCTATCCCTTTTTACAATATCACCCTGGCCTATCCCTTTTGACAACATCACCCTGGCCTATCCCTTTTGACAACATCACCCTGGCCTATCCCTTTTGACAATATCACCCTGGCCTATCCCTTTTGACAACATCACCCTGGCCTATCCCTTTTGGCAATATCACCCTGACCTATCCCTTTAGAAGTCCTTTTCATGACCTACCCCTTTAGATCCTGCCATGGAAAACTTGGTATTGCTGGGCATTGTCCTCATCAGGTCCAATGAAATCTGTTTCCTGTAGCAGGATGCCATCTATAAAAAAATGAGAGTACTCAAAACATTATTTTTGTGGTGTTTTATTTTTGACCATTTGTGAGAACAGAATAAAATCATCAAAATAGATAATTTGAAAAACAGTGTTAAACGAAAACATTATATTCAGACTCATGATTTTCGATGATTTCTGAATTTCTGATTAAATTGCAAAAAAATGTTGAACCATTGAGAAAACATTTCTTTACATTAATTCATGATCAACATTAAGTCAGGATTTTTTATGAAAAAACATGACATCCCCCTTAAGTAAACACAACATCTTTAAAATCAACATACAACCCTGAAAAATACTACAGTTTAACTGGCAATTCAACTTACAGGAGAGTCAGGTAGGGCATTACAAAGGTTTCGAAAGTAGTACATGCCCTTCTGTTCCACTGTTTCCTTGATGCGATGAAAGATGAGCTGTCGCCAAACCTGTTTACGGAACCTATCAGGTATACCTCCACGACACAGCGTCTTCAGCTCTTTATACTGCCAAATACAAAACAACATTTGAGACAATGTTTTAAGGGTGATCCATATGGTTTGTAGAGGACTTTGTACTTACACGGTTTGTGATGGACTTGTATTTACATGGTTTGTGATGGACTTTGTACTTACATGGTTTGTGGTGGACTTTGTACTTACATGGTTTGTGATGGACTTTGTACTTACATGGTTTGTGACAGACTTTGTACTTACATGGTGTGTGGTGGGCTTTGTACTTACATGGTTTGTGATGGACTTTGTACTTACATGGTTTGTGACAGACTTTGTACTTACATGGTGTGTGGTGGGCTTTGTACTTACATGGTCTGTGACAGACTTTGTACTTACATGGTTTGTGATGGACTTTGTACTTACATGGTTTGTGACAGACTTTGAACTTACATGGGGTGTGGTGGACTTTGTACTTACATGGTTTGTGATGGACTTTGTACTTACATGGTTTGTGATGGACTTTGTACTTACATGGTGTGTGATGGACTTTGTACTTACATGGTGTGTGGTGGACTTTGTACTTACATGGTTTGTGACGGACTTTGTACTTACATGGTGTGTGATGGACTTTGTACTTACATGGTGTGTGGTGGACTTTGTACTTACATGGTTTGTGACGGACTTTGTACTCACATGGTTTGTGATGGACTTTGTACTTACATGGGGTGTGGTGGGCTTTGTACTTACATGGTTTGTGACAGACTTTGTACTTACATGGTTTGTGATGGACTTTGTACTTACATGGTTTGTGGTGGACTTTGTACTTACATGGTTTGTGACAGACTTTGTACTTACATGGGGTGTGGTGGGCTTTGTACTTACATGGTCTGTGACAGACTTTGTACTTACATGGGGTGTGGTGGGCTTTGTACTTACATGGTCTGTGACAGACTTTGTACTTACATGGGGTGTGGTGGGCTTTGTACTTACATGGTCTGTGACAGACTTTGTACTTACATGGGGTGTGGTGGGCTTTGTACTTACATGGTCTGTGACAGACTTTGTACTTACATGGGGTGTGGTGGGCTTTGTACTTACATGGTCTGTGACAGACTTTGTACTTACATGGGGTGTGGTGGGCTTTGTACTTACATGGTCTGTGACAGACTTTGTACTTACATGGGGTGTGGTGGGCTTTGTACTTACATGGTCTGTGACAGACTTTGTACTTACATGGGGTGTGGTGGGCTTTGTACTTACATGGTCTGTGACAGACTTTGTACTTACATGGGGTGTGGTGGGCTTTGTACTTACATGGTCTGTGACAGACTTTGTACTTACATGGGGTGTGGTGGGCTTTGTACTTACATGGTTTGTGACAGACTTTGTACTTACATGGTTTGTGGTGGACTTTGTACTTACATGGTTTGTGACAGACTTTGTACTTACATGGGGTGTGGTGGGCTTTGTACTTACATGGTCTGTGACAGACTTTGTACTTACATGGGGTGTGGTGGGCTTTGTACTTACATGGTCTGTGACAGACTTTGTACTTACATGGGGTGTGGTGGGCTTTGTACTTACATGGTTTGTGATGGACTTTGTACTTACATGGTTTGTAATGGACTTTGTACTTACATGGTCTGTGACAGACTTTGTACTTACATGGGGTGTGGTGGGCTTTGTACTTACATGGTTTGTGATGGACTTTGTACTTACATGGTTTGTAATGGACTTTGTACTTACATGGTCTGTGACAGACTTTGTACTTACATGGTCTGTGACAGACTTTGTACTTACATGGTGTGTGACAGACTTTGTACTTACATGGTTTGTGACAGACTTTGTACTTACATGGGGTGTGGTGGGCTTTGTACTTACATGGTCTGTGACAGACTTTGTACTTACATGGTCTGTGACAGACTTTGTACTTACATGGGGTGTGGTGGGCTTTGTACTTACATGGTCTGTGACAGACTTTGTACTTACATGGTCTGTGACAGACTTTGTACTTACATGGGGTGTGATGGACTTGTATTTACATGGTTTGTGACAGACTTTGTACTTACATGGTGTGTGGTGGGCTTTGTACTTACATGGTTTGTGACAGACTTTGTACTTACATGGTTTGTGACAGACTTTGTACTTACATGGTTTGTGACGGACTTTGTACTTACATGGTTTGTGACAGACTTTGTACTTACATGGTTTGTGGTGGACTTTGTACTTACATGGTTTGTGATGGACTTTGTACTTACATGGTTTGTGGTGGACTTTGTACTTACATGGTTTGTGACAGACTTTGTACTTACATGGTGTGTGGTGGACTTTGTACTTACATGGTTTGTGATGGACTTTGTACTTACATGGGGTGTGACGGACTTTGTACTTACATGGTTTGTGACGGACTTTGTACTTACATGGTTTGTGACGGACTTTGTACTTACATGGTTTGTGACGGACTTTGTACTTACATGGTTTGTGGTGGGCTTTGTACTTACATGGTCTGTGACAGACTTTGTACTTACATGGTGTGTGACAGACTTTGTACTTACATGGTTTGTGACAGACTTTGTACTTACATGGTTTGTGATGGACTTTGTACTTACACGGTTCATGATAGACTTTCCATGTTGCCTCATGAAGTGTGTCCACTTTTTATGGTGCTCTTCGTATGAGCCAGCCTGGAGGATGTAGTGATGAGTGAGCTCCTGACAAAGGTAGTGAAGCAGAAGGCCCTGGTCCTCAAACACATGTTTAAATCCATACACATCCACATGGATCTCCCCACTGTTTAGACTACAA